CACTTTGAGTCACTCCATTTGGCCAAGTAGGACTGCTTCAACAGACAAAAGGAGCTTACAGAAAACTGTGGACAAGTCTTTGAGGTGAGTTCTGCTGTGGACGTGCAGCGCTACAGTCAACCTCTAACCTACCACCTCAATTCTCTGCCTTTCCTCACTCTAAACACCTCAACAAAGCTCCACTGTTTCAGTCACCGTTTCATCACATATATACACAGAAAACTGACCACATCTCTCCTCTCTTTCCCCGTCTTCTCTACCTCCATCACACTGTCAATCCCTCTATCGGCTCTGTCCCTTTATCGGCACCTGGAGACGCACATCTGTCGATGGAGGAATTCATTTTGGCTGCCAATCACAACAGGGGAGTGGTCAATGAGTGCAGATGTGCCAATACCCCGACTACCCTGATGAGTGACTTCTGTCTGTCTGTCTCTCTGGGCTTCCAGCACTTTCTATCCGCTGTTGTGTGACATAGACTAGGAGAGTGTCTGTCTCACTTTCTTGTTTTGGTTTTTACCATGCCCAGCTGTGTGTGTGTGTGTGTGTGTGTGTGTGTGTGCGTGTGTCGAGGGCAGAGTACCATAGCTGACTATAAACAAACCACAACTAAGATCTACATGTAGAAGCACAATCTGATCAGAGGCCTCAAGAACACACTAATTATTTTTGTTTATATCGCTGTACCTTCATTTTCATAATGCTCAAGGACACCTATTTTCTACATTACAATAGAAAAATGAGGCTGGACCTCAAAAGGTTTGATGGCAATGTCAAATTGATACTGACCATAGGTGGTAAAACGACAAGGTCTTCTGAATTTCCCTTTGCCTGTAAATGTGTTTCCATTTGAGACTAAATCCTTTTATTTTTTTCTATCTTGCGAATTCTCTATGAACTTTATGGGGATTTTTTCTGTCTTTTACACAGAAAATCACACGCACACAAACACAAAATCTAGCGTCTGAGAAAAATAAGAAAATGTAATCAACAAGGTTAGGCAGAAATAGTTTGACAATCCAGGGGTGAAATCCTTTTTAAATGTATTTCCTCTTTCTGTGTGTATGTGTATGTGTATGTGTATGTGTGTGTATGTGTGTACGTGTGTGTGCATGCTAGACCCCGTGTATGCACGTGCAAACTCATCCCTGACCTTAGCATCCTTGAGCAACTGTGTTTGCACTTATATGAACGACCTCAAATATCTTGTGACTCTGTGTGTGAAAGTGTGTATTTGCGATGAATATACCTGTCAGGTGGCCGACTGTAAGTATTGTTGTCAACTCTGCTTCCTTTACGTGTCTCACAAATTATCTTTCTGTGTCCACCGATACTGCTGGAGATAAAGAAACAAATTACAAGCTTTTTCGTCTTTTACTGCTTCAATTCAGTTTTAACGAACACATGAAATAAAATGTTTGTCATTCAGTCGCAGACAGGACACTTCAACCAATTTGCAGCACCCTTTGAAAAGCGTCTTCTTCACAGCAGGTTCTTAGCACAAAGGCTTGAGGTGAAATGCTTCCCGACCTTCTCCAAAATAATGACAAATCACGATTAAGAGATTATTTTGATGACACATAATTTAGTGGTAAATTAGAAGCCCATCAAAATTATTATCATATAAATCGGAGATCAATTTATTTCTAAATATTGGGGAATTGCATTTCCTCGTAATTACTGTAATTCTTGCTAAAATGAAAGCAACTCCTTTAAATATCTATTTCAGGTCGCATTTGCTTAAATATATCTAAGAATGGGCACAGACTGTAAAGTTCTTCCTAATATAGAAACAATGTTTCTATATTAGGCTTTGTGGTGACTTTTTCTCTTGTTGGGTTATCCGAAATTATATTTGTTGTATATAAAACATACATACATTTATGTTTGAGATGAAATCTTCAATTGGTTTAAATATTTTAACATCATTGGTAAATTGTATTACAAAGTTTCAGAATAGTTGTGTATTTCCCGAGATCTTTAGGGAAATATGCTAATTCATATTTAGATGAGAAGAGATGCTGTTTAACGCAATGTCAAATGGACAGCACTTTCTTTCCGTTGCTATTATTATAAGGGCTTACTTATTTTACCAAAATCAAAAAGTAATATTTTTTTTTCATATATTATATCCAAATAATTTCCATGGCACAAATGCCTGGTTGGCACAAGGCGCAAGAATATTTTGGGTCAAATCAAGGACGCGCAAATTAAATATCCAAATAGTTTCTGCGTCTTTTCTTTAAATCCAAGTGTTAAACGTCGATTCTTCCTTGACAAAACCTTAATGATTTTCGTCAAACATCTGTCACGGTCCCTGTGTTTATCCGAGGGCTCTAATGGGAACCATCAGCCGCGCGGGGCGAGATTCTGGCTGTCGGACCAGTAAAACGTCCGGATAGATCTTCTTTTCTGAGGTCATTTCTTGCATTTAGCATCGAGTCTGATGGTGTTTTGGTAAAACAGGCCGTCGGAGCTGGACTGTGACTGCGTTGTTGAGGTGCTTGTTTGCCCAGTGTGGTCTGTTAACTGTTGTTTAGGTGTGGGTGGTGCTGCGACAACAAACTCAAACTGTGACCGAGGATTGACCCCGTGGTTTCTTTTGAGGGTCAGCTGCGTTTTTAATCTACTCTGTGTGGCTCCTGCATAGCGCACAGGATCATGGAGGAAGAACCGGGAACACCCAAGGGTCTTTGAGGAGATTTTGGTGTGTCTCCAGGAACACATGCATTAATTTCACCATTTATTTGTATCCTAAAATCCACAAAAAATATATAATAACCATTTAAAATATGCGAGAATAAATCAACTTTCTTTATCATGTTACTCTCTACTTCAACTTATATTTTGTTGAAGTTTAAGTTGTCAGGTTTGGACACACAAACACGTACACACAGAATAAATCAGAAATTAGAATCTGTGTCCAAATGAGTAACTATGTGCCAAAATGTTGTCAGTCCCTGTTGCACAAAGGGGGATTTGTAATTGCAAGCAAGATAGAACACCAGATGTTTAGATTTAGAGGAATCACTGTGTAAATGTGATATAAATGTGGCTGCTGATTAAAAGGAAAAATGTAAAAAGCATAATTCTCGAGGGTCCTAAATAAAGTCGTTGGCATACATAAATATGTAGATTAAGTGGAAATAAACATTTCCCTAATATTTTTAAAATCTTGGTATTTCTAACATTTTTGGATGAGTTTTGATAAGTAATCATTTGTCAAGAACATTTACGGAGTTCTGGCCGTAATAAGTTAACATTTTAACAATTGACAGACTTTTAAATCAGTCTATATTAGCATTGAACTGTGTATTCCTTTGTTTAAATATGTGACAATAACATTTCGAAATGAAATAAATGATTTACAAGCTTTGTAAATCTAATCCATATGCTCTCATCCGTCTATCATTCGAAACTTCTCAATATCCCTATAATTTTAAAATATGTTAAATGATTTAACAAAAAAAATCTAAATGATATATAAAATAGGGCGCAGCAACACAATTCTGTCCCATTTGCTTTAAAAAATGTACAAGTATTCTTTATATCATATTTAAAAAAGTAAACATTTAGAAATGTATATTGCATTAACATTAGATTAAAATGCAGACCTCTTGTTCAAATAATAGTGTTTGCATAGTGCATACTTCCTTTTTATCTTTTTTTCCCCGGATATAAAAGAGATAATGTTTCACGTCATTCTTATCCAGATTGACCTGAGAAAAACAACCAGGCCCCTTGAGCAACACGTCTGTACTTTACTATTTGTACCGAAACAACTCCTCTAAACAAAATAAGGGGGTCTGAAGTTACCAAACTAGCATTTTCACGTGTTCCATACAAAGCAAGCCTTGTCCTGAATGTCGGAAAAACACCTGATACAACGCATTAACAATATATATAAATATAAAACAATGTGAGATAATTAAAAAAGGGTTGGCTACATAACTTACTGTGTTTGCTGTTGCTGAATTAGACTGTGCAGCCTGTGCTGCAGCCTTAGCAGGTCTCCGCAGCTCCAAAAGAGCAGCCTCTGCAGGTAGATCCCAGGTGAACATTTGTCATTAATCATGGCTCTTTGGGCGTTTTTTTTAGAAAAAGAATCAGGAAACTGGACAGAGGATGCAGACTATCTTGAAAAAATGCCAGTAAAACTAAAACTAAACTAAATGTTCTGAAATGCAGTTTAGACGTACGTGTTTGATTTATATCAATGAATATTAATAAAAGTTATTCAACTTTTAATGTGAGTCAATATGACCATTATTCATTCAAAATGCATATATCTTTAAAGAGCAGATTAACAAATCAGGTGTAAATATAGAACCTGAAATACTTGTAAAAGCAAATATGTGTAGCTCACTGTGCGACATGCAGGTGCTGCAAGTTTTCACTGTTCATCTTGTCATCCGGTGGGGAAGATGACACCTCCTTGTGACTTGGCGAACTGAGGAGTTAACGCTGACAGGGCCAGTGGGGCCCCATCCTTGTCGATAGCCTAACCTCGATGTTTTAATCCATAGAGTTTATTTTTTGTCCCCTCAATAAGCCAACAGCTCGATAAGGTTGTCATCACAAATGACGCTGACATCCGCGCTCTCATCTCCTCCGTGGATAAACATGCCTTTATTATGCCAATAACTCTTTACCCCGGGGACGGGAGCGCGCACGGCCGCATACATTGAGAGAATCTGTGGTGCGTAAAAGAGACGCATGCAGCTTTTCAAACGAAGGGAAAATGGACAGTGATTCCTTTTTTTTCGTCTGTGGAGCTAGAATAAATGTCTGATTGGCGGATTTAGATGGAAGACTTGCTTTGAAATACTCAAAAAAGCCTCTCTAACTGTCTCTCCCCTTAGCAATGACACAGATGAATAGTTTGTTTTAGAGGTAAACGCACTTTAATACACATGATTGACCCGTAAACGTCTCTCTGGACACAACATATTGTATAGTGCTCCACTGGATTAAATAGACAACAGATAAAAGCCTGGAACATACATGGCCTTACATGACCAGTTCCCCAACTGATAAAACTCAGCGCCCCGCTAATAATACATGAAAGCATTACGCATCATGCGATTCTCACAAAATATACATTCAACCAGTCGTGGCACACAAACACACAGGCCTTAAACACAGAGGTGACAGTGATTAAGGAGGTATTATGACAATGCACTCTGTAACGATTAATAAACGAGGTCATCTATTTGATTGTGTGATGCCTCCTTGACCACATCCACTTCAATCACCCACAACTTTGGCACATTTGAGGTATTTGTTTGTGTGGGCAGCTTTGTGACTTTACATTGGCACATCCAGCCGCACTGGTCAGGAGCAGGTGTAAGGAAGGAGCTGGATGTCTTTTGCACCATCATAGTCGTGGTGGAACGCGTATTTAACGTCAAATTTCAAAAGAAAGGACACATTTTCAACCATCGCCCTATTTGTTTGGACAGCAATGTCATCGTTCTTCCGAAAACAATACACTATATAAAACAAATCTATAACTCAGAAATGGTCCATATTATTGTCCAAAGTTTCACATAGTGCATTAATCCTTCCTAAATGTACACATTTGTCATCCATCAACAGGACTCTGTCTTTGATACACTGGCGATGAGCTTTGGTACATACAGGCCGCCATGCGGCCCGAATAGGTAAAGGGGCAGTTGGTTCTTAGTTGGAGGAGTAAGGATCAGACGCCGTGGAGGATGTGGGAGACGGAGTAGAGGGGGGTGAGATAGATTTCTCTGATGCTCCATCATCCATTTTCTCTTGACTGCTTTCTCCCGGGTCTGAGGACGGAGCTTTGGCCGGCAGCAGCCCTTCTTTCTCTCTCTTCTTCTGCTTCATCCTGCGGTTCTGGAACCAGATTTTCACCTGAGTCTCATTCAGCTGCAGCGCGGCTGCGATCTCAACGCGCCGCGCACGGGTCAGGTACTTGTTGAAGTGGAACTCCTTTTCCAGCTCCGTCAGCTGCTTGGTGGTGAAGTTGGTTCGGACCGTGTTCGGCTGACCCCCATAACCGTACTCCCCAGACCTGCCTGCAGACAGAGAAACAAATACCCGTGAACTTGGAGAAAAAAAGTTACCATGTTGTCTGCTCACAGCACTTATGAGTTATTAGACTATTAACTGTTTGTGTCTGAAATATGCTGTAATGTGCACATACATGGTCTAACGGACATACCACTAAAATACAGCATCTGTGAAACTGCATTGTACAATACAAGTTATTTCCAGCTTTCTGTCTTTTCCTATATAGCATAACTATCAACAAGGCAATCACCAAATGTCAATAAAGTATACAATTTTAACTCCACAACGTGGCTTTAAATGTGCTTATTTTCCAGTGTGTCCCACACAAAAATATCTACCAACATTGTCTGACATCACTTACATTTAAAGAGCTTGGCTCACTTGTAAGCCGATGGTTTAGACATATACATGTTTGCCACTGGCACATTGGCACGCACCTGTTTTTGGAGGGTTTCTCTTGACTTTCATCCAGTCGAAAGTCTGTGCAGAAGATGCGCCCTCAGACAAAGGTGAACAACAAGCGTCGAGGTGAGCTGCGTGCAGTGGTGACAGCGGGTTTGAGCACCCAGGAAAAGGGGCTGCTTGCTCGTGCCCGCCGCCGTAGGCAGCATGGGCATACTGCAGTTGACCCAAGGGGGCGGCACTGTAACCTTGACGATGCTGAGAGACCATGGAGGAGGAAATGTTACCCGAGTACATCAGTGGGCCGCACTGGGGGAATCCCGCTGAGGAGTCTACTTCCTGGTTGAGCGCGTAATGATTATACGTAGCACAGAAACTTTGGGGTCCATAGCTGGAGCTGCAGGCCGGATGGGCTCCATAGGCGAGACCCAGAGAGCTCGCATTAGACTGGTATGACCCCGGCTGATGAGAGATGCCGTCAGGGGAAGCCTTGCTCCCCATGAAGCGATCATCAGTCCCGCAATTGTTGACAGTGACTGCACAGGACTGAAAAGTTGTAATCCCGTGGTCCGAGTGGTAAGCCCTGACAGAGCATGAGCCACCTTCGCCGCTCATCACCGAGTAGTCTAAGAAGCTGCTCATTATAGCATTGTTCTACTGGGACCGAGGGACCGTCCGCTCTACAGACACCCTCTGATCTATTCCTCTCTCCCCTCTTACCCCAAGTGACCGTGCCAACCTTTACCTATACTGTGTCCTTATCAGAGGAGGGAGGGGGGCGCACGGGCGCATCGTCAATGAACGGGTGCTGTCACGTGGGCCCGGGTCAGCCAGTGAGGTACTTGTGCTTATCCCCTTAGCCGGTGACAGATTGGTGTTTGAGTGGCTATTTAAATTCCAGGGGCTCGTCGATCAAGGTGACGCGCGTCGCCACTAATGTATTGGCCGTGCAAACAATGAGCTGGGAGGCAGACGGTGGTGGACAGCTCCGGGGTCGCATTAACAGCGGTGAACGGCAAACTCGGCGTCTTCTAACCCCCGCTGCGCGCTCTCCCGCCCGGGGAAAGATTAACGCTTCACCCTCTGCAACCTCTCCGAGGACGACCTAGCACTCTGACCTCAGGTACGGTATTTTTGGAATAGAGAGGATAATAGGTGTATGTGCGTGTATGTGTTGATGCGTATGCGCGCTTGCGGTTGTGCTTGTGCCCTCATTGCGTGTCTGTATCCGCCCGCGCGTAACAGCCGTGATGTCATATGTATAATGGTGTCATTCTCTCCTCGATGGATGGATAGCCCAGTGTGTGTCTGCCACTGCCACAGGCTATGTGCGCCATTAGTGTCCCATTCCAATGCGAAGTGTTTCACGCTTTAACACCGTGTGGGATTTTCTCAGCAAATATGTTCACAGTGTGACAATGAGGGAGAGGCAGGAAGCTCTCTCTCCTGACAGGCAAAAAGTACCCGATTTCAATCAAAGAGAGCTTTCTAATAACTTTGCTCCCCATCAAGGTCGCATTAGAAATGTTTGGTTGCTTTTCAGTACTTGCTGGGAGGTCACAGGTGAAGTAACGACAAGAAAACCCATTAAACATTAAGATGATTTAGTATTCATTTTTCCTCTCCCGGGGTCATAGGGTCTGCCATCTACTCTCATTTCACTCCCACGTGTATTCATTATGAATGTGTAGTGATCAAATGATCTGATAATGTGAGGCCCTATGTAGAGCTAATGCGCACATACAGCCCGAGGTGCGACTGTGGGCAGATTATCCTGTTAAGTTCATCAAATGAAGCTGTTGCTTTATTGCTTGGAATTAATGGCGAAAAGCTGCGCTGAAAAAAAAGACAGAGTAGGGGGGAGCGTGCGTGGGAGAGCTGCAGAGTAGCGATAGCAGAGTGCAGAGACAACCTCTCACTGAGGAAGGAAAAGAACGGAGAGGGGAGAAGGAGAAGGAGGGAGGGACGGAGGGGGGAGGAGATAATCACACGGAGGAATGAGCGCCCCCAATGGTCGTCTGTGGTTAAACACCCAAAATATGTCAAGTGTGGATAGATAGATAGATAGATAGATAGATAGATAGATAGATAGATAGATAGATAGATAGATAGATAGAAACGAACATTTAGGCTGAACTGAGTACAGAACAGGACTGCAAATAAATTAAATTTAGAAGCACCCTGACCAGCTGCAGTATTAAAATGGAGCTGCATTATCAGTAATAATAATTTGATAATATAGTATGGCTATGTGATTCGGCAACACTGGCAGTGGGCATTCTGCTGCCTTATGATAACCTGCCAATACTTCTACTTCTACTTAAGTACAGTTTTGAAAATGTCTTTCCCTTGTATCGGAGTGTTAGTGTAGTCCTGCTAAGTAAAGGAACGGAAAACTTATTTTACCACTGCTTTTGGATTTAGATGTAAACAATATTAGATATAAGCAGCCTAAATATAAATGGCCCACTTTTCAAATTCATACAAAATGGTTTTCAGCTGCTTCAAACTCATGGAACTTAAAGAAAGTGAGAAGGTGATGCAAACTTCCCAACAGTGAAAAAAAGCGCAGTGGGGTCAATACTACCCCCCTCCTCCCTCCTCTCTGTCTTCCCAGCTGCCTCTGCAACAGTAGTGAGTGGGCGCAGGAGATCCTGCCTTGTCTGTCTGCCTGTGAAAACTTCGCCAGGCCTCGGAGCTTTCTTGGCTCTTTGTGTGAACACATGTGAGCAGAAAAGGCGCGCTGTCTCGGAATGATTTGGTTATGCTGGCCCCGTGGTTAGTCACTGGTTGCTGGAGTGCAGTGTAGAGGATCTGCCACCCCCCTTTCACCACTATACCCCCTCCTTAAACACACACATACTCGAGTTACCCAGTAGACGTATGTTAAACCAGTCGATTGGCTTCTTATGACTTCCAGATTATTCGATAAACCGCCGCTGAACACCCAGTTTGTGTATGAGTTTCTGAATCGATCCGTACAGGCCGGCGTCGCAACCGGTGGTTGTTTTTGATGTGTACACATAAAGCTGTTGAAGTGGAAAAACCTATTGAGTGAAGCTGTGCACGAGCTAATAATTGATTCCCATAAGTCAACTCAAGTGCAATACATTAGAGCAAGACCATTCATAATCCCTATATTGAACTCCAGACTTCCTATTTAAACGGAACTGCTCCAAACAATGTTTAAAAAAAATCCCCCATAAATTGCACAAGCTCTACTGATAAAATAAGCCAAATATTGCTTAATGATACTCCCTCCACAGCTAATTTCAGTAAATGTGTCTCTGATGAATAACATCTAGTCGAAAAGTAGTCTGTTTTGAGTTTGAGCTATACGCGGGGTAAGTGCGCAGCCTCATAACCTCAGCAGCCTGCTACTGCATGCTGCCGCGGTCCCCGAGCCACAGCCGTGTTTAAAGAAGCTATAAAAATGAATTATTGCCAAACGCATGCGGGGACTCAGTCTCTTTCTAGCACAGGAATTGGGGGAGTCCCGTATGAAAATGTAAGTGAGGTTTTATTTGTGCACATTACGCCACAATTGGTCTCCTTAATGTCCGTCTCATTCATGCCACGGAGTGATTTATGAGCTCCTGAAGGCAAACATGGCTCCGGTATTCGCCTGCATCATGCACACAATGTTAAGATCCCTGTCATGTTAAGATCCACGCTGGCGTGTTTGCGTTTACTCTCCAAAGTATGAAGTTTAAAGGTTAAACTAAAAATAATCTGCAGTAGGGTTTCTGTAGGCAGCTTTAAATATAGTGCCAACATGTCTGTGTAAATCTGGGGGAACATTTTCAGCAAAACAAATGCTACTTTTTGCATCAAGTATGAGTTGATAAACGGCTAATTATCAGACATTTAAAAGTAATTTTACTATATCAAAAAAAAAGTTTTTTTCACCAAAGTTTTAAATTCCAAAATGATCTGCTATATATAAAAAGACAATTCAATACAATTTACGTTTCAGGTAACTATTTAAAACATGTTGAAATTAAATTCCACATTAAAATTTCAATCATGTGTGTGTTTTCACAATTCAACGCAATCAAGACTATTTGTATTCATTACCAACCTGTTGTTGAATTTGCATAACGTCTCTCTTTTCATGCCCTACTTCTTTATTTTGCATAATTTCTCCATAAATAGTTCAAGCTAAAATTGAAGTCTGTAAATAGAACAAGAAACGACTCAAAACACCAGAAAAAAAGGATTGTAGCAAGTTAATTGTATTCTAACAAAAATATCCAAGACATTGGAAGCTATACAAAAATAAAATGACCAGGTTCCATAGGCCTAATATTGTATAATTATTCACAAACACTCATAATTATCATTCCAAGAGAACAATTTGTTATGTAAATTACAAGCCACGCGTGAGTATAGCTATTTCAGTGATTTCATTTCAGCCTTACCTTGCATTAATCGTCAAGTCAAATATCATTAGAATAAATGTGCCGAATATACAAATAACAGCAGAGTTAATACCATTACAACCTGATATGTATTGTCCCAAGGAAAAAAAAGAAAGCTTTTGTGATTGATTTCAGTTAATAGTTCAGATGCTGCAGGTCGATTGTAGTTAGGGACTCCGAGAAAAAATAAAAGCTGTCCGCAGAAATGTCCACGGGGCTGTCCAGAGACTCTGATAAGCTCGGCGAGGCAGCATCGGAGAGCTGTAGGCAGGAATCCGAGGAGAAAGGTTGAAAATCGTGTATAGAAACATCCAGGGCCGGGGGACTGTCGCCATTGTCCGGGCCAGATGCCGAGCCTGGGCCCATTGTTGACATGCAGCCTGGAACAGTGGGTGACGGGTTGGGAAAATGTTTCAGATTTTTGTCATTGCTGTTCAGCGGCGCAGCAGCAAAGCTCATGGACTCGCTATTGTGAAGCTGCTGTGTAGAGCTCAGAGAGTTATTCTGAAAGGAGCAGGTATCTCTCTCCAGCAGGGCCCCGCTCCGCTCGTACAGGGGGCCCTCGTCGTCCTCGTCGCTGTGGATGCCGTCCTCGGCGCCCGGCCCTTTCCCTTCCCCGTTGTGGTTCTCCTTGCTCTGGGTCTGCCGCTTGTGCTTCATGCGCCGGTTTTGGAACCAAACTTTGACCTGCCTCTCGGTCAGGTCCAGAAGAGCCGCTATTTCCACTCTCCTCGGACGGCACAGATACTTGTTGAAGTGGAACTCCTTCTCCAGCTCCAGCAGCTGTGTGTTGGTATACGCTGTCCTCAGCCGACGGGACCCCCCTCCTCCCCCACCACTCTCCACAATCTCAGGCGAGCCTGGAAAATAAGCATCACGGTAGCATGGGATTAAAAACGCAGGACACAACAGTTACATAACCCCGCTGCTCCTGAATCTAACATTATGGCTATCACAAACCACCAGAGAGTAGCTCACAACACGCTGCAGCAAAATGGCCGCTGGAGCCACTGACCCAAGCTTATAGCTTGTACACCATTTATCCCAAAAATCATTAGGGCATAGAGATACTCATCGGATTGTTTTACACACAAAATAACGTCTAGTATGAGCGTGAAGCAAACACGGTGGACTAAAAGCAGTGAGGTCCATGCTGGTGTGGGACACTAATGAATGCTCCAGCTGCCCTCCTCGGCAACAGCACTCCATCACTCTTCATTACTGTCACACATCAAAACTCTGCTACGGCTATGGGAATAAATCATCTCACCAAACTTTACCCAAACTGTTTTTTTTTCTTGCTTCATCCACAATCACAGCAAAGCAATAACCACAAACATATCACAATAAAACGTATCTAGCCTATTTGTTTTTTTAAGAGAGGGGCTGCGTATGTTACTGATGTCAAATTTAGCAACAGATAGTAATCACTTTTGCAGTAAAGTGCCCGTGTTTTGAAATCACCCACCTTTTGGAGAAAAGCACTCATGTCCATTGGATATAGTGGTTGCGGTGGAGGTCGGCAAGTGGTTCCTCTTGGAGGCTTTCTTTTCCCGCATCCAGGGGTACTCCGGGGGTAAGGAGGCGGTGGGCAGCGGGCTGCATCCGTCGGGGCTGTGTCTGGGCCGGCCGTGCCGCGGATGGCTGCCCGGATTCAAGCTAGGAATGGTCTGCTCAAAGGGAGGAGGAATCAGTGTCGGGCGTGAAAGCGTCGAGCTCTTGATTGATGAACTTTGAAATGAATCAGCGACAGGGGGGAAAGATGTCAGGCACTCAGCAAGCGACGGCTGACTATTGATAAAACCGCTCTCTCGCTCGAATTCGTAATTCATCTCCGCTCCCTGAGAGCCGAGGAAAGTTTGCACGCGTATTTTTATAAATGTTTCGGCTCAGTGAGGACGAGAAAGAAAAAGTCATTAAAAAATATCCTGGTGGTGTTTTTATTCTATATCACTGATTACGGCCGTATGGGGACCGAGCTACTATTAAACTATTGAATTCATGGAGACAAGGTTGAAATTGGACGGAATTGCCTGTCACATGATTACCTCTGCCCAATGACAATTTAGGGTTTAATCAAAAGGAGCCACTGTCTGCCTGATTGATCCAAAAACGCTGATGAAGAACGCCTCGATCAGTTGGGGGACGACTGTTTTTATTTACATCTTTGTCCGCTCAGTTTATCCTCCTCTCGCCCTTCCAGTCCAGTCCACTAAGCTACAAAATGTGTTTTTTAAGAATGGCTGACGCTCACTATTACAGGGAAGGAGACCAGCATAGGGTGCGCGGATTCGTGCACTCCTCTTTCTCGTATTGTTTGAGGATGTCAGTCGAGAACGCCCCCACCCACACACAGACGCACACAGACACACACACACATTTCACGCCAGTGGCTATTCATATAGGCAAGAGTCAGGCTTCAGAGGTGAAAAAATAACACAAGCCAAAAACTGATATTGAGACTGAAGTCGACAGAGACAACCCCCAATAATCCAGTCTGTTCAGTGAGTGTGGACTCCAGAGTAGATGTGATTGTTCAAAGATGCATAATGAAATATGCAGTGCACCCATCGACATGTGTAGCAATAAAAAGCCCATCCATTAAGTTAATACTGACGGATATGACACGTTCAGACCATTTCGTCCCATAACAGCTGTTTAACATTTACAGCTCAGGTCCAGAAACTTGTGAAAAAAAAAGAAAGACCCACACGCATGTAGTCTATGCATGCGCAGTCATGAACATTGTTTTATTGTGGGCTATTTATGTGGCTTCTGTAGATATATTAAAGCACATATGTTTTTCGTTTATTCCACAAAAGGTCGATTTAATAACGAGGTCATGCGCGCCCATGGTGGTGCACAACAAAAAAACACTGTGCTAATCAAACAGGATATCTTTCTTTTAAGATTGGTAATGGCCCCCTTTTTCGATAACCAAAGGATGAAATAATTGTACGTTTATTTTAAATAGTATCCTAATATTAAGGATGGTTTCATGTGCATGATAATAGTGGAAAACGAAAACGCTTGGGTTTACTGGGAGGACAGTAGCTAAAACGCTGAGAAAAATATCTTATTGTATTTCCATTCGACATGAGATTGTAATAAAGCAACCACCATCATGTTTAGAATAGACCATTTACAATGAATCCGTTTGCAGCGTTATTATGTAAATGGCTGTTATTGAATGGGGCTAACCTGCAGTGTTTTGTTTCATTGCCCTTCCAAAATAATCCGTGAAAGCCACATTTGGGATGTTTTTCGTCAAGCAATACATGTTTTATTTTCATTTGAAAAATATATGACTTGGTGAGTAAGAGAGGGGGAGAAGAGAAGTGGTAGGCCTCTCTCAGTTTGTTGCTTATATACCAAACAAAGAGTCCTGGAAGCCTGTGCGCGATCAATCTTACTCGCCAAAAGGTCTGACAGCTCGGTGCCCTCACAACACATTTAAGGCTTCTAACTCTCCCCCGGATCAAATGCAGCCAGGAAGCGGTGAGAAACACTGGCCACTCAGATTAGAACCAGTTTCTGCTCGCAGTTGTAGCCGGGCTGTCGCTGGAGGGATATTTTATAAGATAAATAAGAATCCATCGACACAAGATGCAACCATTTCCTTTTTGTGGAGGCGGTAATGCGCCAACGGTGAGTAGGGCGAAGCAGCTTCTCCACCTGGCTTTTATCTTCGAATTGTAAACGCATTTACACGAAGACAACGATTTTTGTTGTTTTGGTAGACGTGCAGGTTTGTGAGCAGACCAGACCGTGTGATGTGGGACAGAGTTGCTAGGGGAAGAGATGGATGGCTTTTTTGGAATTACGCACAGGCTTTGTGTGCAAGGAAAGGAGTGGGTGGCGGCATTTAGTGGACCCCAGTCTGTCTTACACACTTGTCTTTACAGCAGCATTGATTTAAGACCACTTTCCCACGGATGGAAATGCAAAGAAAGATATACAAATCGTATCTTAGTTAAAACGTTATTTATGTGCTACCTGCATGCGCATATGGGTCAAATCAGCGTCTTGCTGTGCACGCGTGTGCATGTGTGCGCGTGTCTGTGTTGGATGCAGGAATACTCAGTGCATCAGTTTTTTTTTTTTTTTTACTGGGACAGACCATGGTTCAATTGTTCTAGGTTTCCCTGCTAACCATATGTCAGGGTTAATAATGTCCATGCCCTCTTATATCAATCAGATAGCGCAGAAAAATATTTCTGGGTGCAAAATCCGTAAGACCAAATAATACTGCAGTTACACAAAGGCATATGCACAAAAAGTAAACATGGTACGAAAAGGTTTTGTAATTTGACGGAAGAAGAAGTAAAGTCATTCAGCATGGTAAGAAAAAGAATTTTCCTGAAAGAAATGACACATTTACAAAATAGACAATGAAAAGACAATGAAAAGAAAAGAAAATTTAAAAAAGATAAAACAAAGCATATTAATTTGTATGCCGGCCATTTATCCGAACAAAAAATACCGAAAGGATTTAAAACCCATTTTTCAGCATTCCACTTATAATTTGCTTTGCTGTAACCATCCACGAGACCAAGGCTTTTAATGTTGACCTGGCTTCACGCTGGCATCTGCAAATTTGTAATATAATGACCCAAATAAGCCCCGTTACGATTTTTGCTTCATCCTCCATCCTCTCTGACCGCATTTGACTGACTGAACATATCAGGGAATTATTTTTTCAAACGATTTCTCATTTAACTTGTTGTCTTCTTGCAGAATCTCCAGAAGGGCCCGTGTGACATTTTTATTATTATGGATGTGCCCACGCAGATGAGAGGAGGTGAGAAGGCCACCCGACTTTTCTTCACGTCGAATGAAGAGGGGAGAGAAAAACAAGTAGCTTTAATTCAATATTTGACTTTATCTGCAACCATTTCCCTTTCTGTTATTGAATATTACATGTGGCCACTGGTTTCACGTTATTTTGGATGCATTCATCTTATAAAAATATATAGATAGTACCAATTATGATGAATGGTTTATTAAACGATTACCATTATATTGTCTCTTACGTTGCCAATTGTCTAAAAATGTTTATTTTTTTGTGATCACCTCTACCATTATGTACCGTCTTGAAATTCATAACAGCAATAACTAAATGTAATAATTGTAAAACTAGGAAAGTATTGACATTTTTATTTAGGAAACTGTCTTGTATTTACGTGAAATGCTTCCGATTAAAACTACAAGGTTTGCTGCAATTATATTTCAATTGTTTTATTTATTTATTCGAACTGGAGCAGCGAGGAATGTATGACATCGAAAAAGAAAACTGATGATGTCTTTTTTCTTTTTTACTTCAAGAAAAGAAAATGCTAATGTGTGTCCTTCTTTCCACCCTTATTGCATGACTGATTGATTTTACATTCGCTGAGAAAATAAAACATCTCATTGAAGAAGAAGAAACGGAAACATAACCTAATAGCAACATGGTGTGCTGCTGGGGAGCTTCTGAATACATATATGGGCTGGTAAGGGGCCGAGGCGCTAATTTCCCATCAACCTTGTCTCACAAAGATCGCAGAGGTGTCAAATAATACTAAAGGACTCTTATCTTAACATCAAACAAAATAAATAACATTAAAAAGTCCAATAGAACAACACAAGCAAGGGAGGCGGCGTGTGAGCTCATGTCCCTTGTTTTTGAAAATGTATTTCCCTCATAATCCCAACTCGTGGCTCTTGAAGGATCCTTTCACAAGTGCAATAAAATGCAAAACACAATTCTTCAACTGCGGATAAATAAAAGACGGACAAATTCACATTCAAATGAATAACATATGTTCATAATACCCTGTTTGAGTTTCGATTTTAAAACAAGTTAAAAAAAGATTAAATAGGCCTATGCTTATACTGTGCCCCCCTCCCTCCCACTCTAGACGTCCTACAGCTCAGATAAAGGTCTTTGTGAGACAATGAAACGAGCAAATAGAAAAAAATTCAAGCAAGTCGTGATTATTTATCCTACGCTACTTCACACATCAAACTATAGAGAACATAAACAAAGGCTGAGAGAAGGTGGATGCCGTGAGGAGGCGCAGAAACAAAGCAGTAATGTGTCTGGAGGTGGATAAGACAATGGGCGGAGTGATCCGGGCTACGCCACCGCTACAGATGCGTCAGTTTGGGCGCTTCCTGGATTCTTCCCTGAGAGTATTGCGACGTTAGGTCTGTGTACGTCGGTGTCGGATCACACACTCCGTGATGCTGACTGTTGCCCATTGTGATTGCTCCATTGTAGTCCATATTTGCGGACGGCGGGTGCTGGAGGTGGGTTAGACCGAAAACGGAGGTCCCAGAATTGGGCATTGAGTCGATGTAACCTCCGCCGACATAAACGGGGCTGCCCTGCATGTGAGTCCCGTAGTTGCCATTGCCTTGGAGAGGATGCGCGTCATACTCGGGCGTGGCCGAGTCGGTCCCGGGATACCTCTTCTGGGAGGGCGGGCAGTTGTTGAGGGAGCTGTTCAAAGGAGGGGGGTATGACGTGGCCATAGCGTATGCATTTTGATGAGGTTTATTGTAAGACGTCGGCGACTGGGATTCATAAGGTACACTGTTGACTAGAGAATGCATAGAGTTGAGGTATCCTCCACCACCGGAGACCGGACCCACGGGACTCCGAGGGGACTGCCCACCAGGGGAAGGCATCATTCCGACACCTTTCTGATCCTTCTTGTATTTCATTCTGCGGTTCTGGAACCAGATTTTGATCTGTCTCTCAGTGAGGTTGAGCAGGTTGGCCATCTCCACCCTCCGGGGTCTGCAAAGGTACCGGTTAAAGTGGAACTCCTTCTCCAGCTCCACTAGCTGGGCGCTGGTGTAAGCTGTCCGGGCCCTCTTCGAAGCTGCTGACCCTGGAGGACTCTTGTCTCCGGGGCAACTCTCCACTGTCAGGGAGGAGGAGAGGAGGGTGTCAATCAGCAATCCATTACAGAGAGAGAGAGAGAGAGAGAGAGAGAGAGAGAGAGAGAGAGAGAGAGAGAGAGAGGTTGAGAAGGGTAGAGAGGCAGAGACAGGAGAGTGAGAGTAAAATCGTCTGACAACACGCACACAGCTGATAACAGCACTTTCAACCATCAGGAGGGGGTGGTTTACTAGATAAATACGCCCTGCTCCACAACTTAAATAGGGGTGTTATCATCGACTTTTTTTTTTCCTCCTTACGTGTAAGTGAGCATGTGCGCACATTTTGATAAACCCACTGCATAGCACAAGGGTTATGAAGACGGCTCCATGTGACAATTAACAACCAGTGTATGGGCACTGTGTCTGTGTACACGCTACACTAACTACATAGAAAAATGTAACTGGAGAACAGTGGGTAAATATTTGATATGGAATCAGGTAACCTTAGACTTCTAAAACAGTTTGACCCTCCTCTTCCCCCGTAGTCACAAAGTAGCACAAGCGTAATGCAAACACAAGCATTATGTATTCCTTAGGGTGTATAAACCACTGCCCTCACTGATAAGCCTCCCCTTCTAAGAAGCTGCAGCTTGGCTGCAGAATAGCAAAGTGTTGGTCTACTTGCCGCTGTGGCATGTGGCCAACACTTAATACATTTCACTACCTGTCGTCTAAACGTGGAGCAAAAGGAATGCAGCATGACATAACATGTACCTATTAGGTTATAGAGATGGAAGAGAAGTTAACATAAGGAATACTCATGTATGTAGGGCATCGTTATCAATTGTGATAACGATTATTATTGTATGATACTTTACTTCATATTCAAAGGATAGTTAACTAAGACTGATTTCGGAAATTTGTGTTAAGTGCAGGATTAATGTTATCTATCATGGCGTGCGTGCGTAAAAGGCTTTTCATCAACGTTAGCCCCTCAATGTGATGTTAAAATAATGAAACCCCCTCACCAAACATGCTGCTTTACATTTTAAACTCTTACAGCAGAATAATACATAACTTCATTTGATAACTATCCATGTATAACAAAAAGGGAAGGCCATGGGAAGGTAAGATTAACTGACATTTTTAGATTGGGGGTGTTTATTGGCATATAATCATACACAAATCCTCTCCCTGACCCAGCAAGGTTTCCTCCAATTAAATAGCAGAATCGGACCCGTGTAGGTGCATACAATTGTTTTCATAAATTGTAGCACTTTTACCAGTTGAGGAAAAATTATAATAAAACATCTTCCCAACATATAACAATGAAGGGCACCATACTTCTTAACATTGTAGCTTATACTGTAGACAACTACCTACAACGTGATTAGAAAGTTACCCACGTAATTTACACAATAGAAAGGTCATACGATGATGAGCGTCTCTGAATTTTTAAGTACCTTACGCAAGTAAACATCTGAAACACAAATTCCTTACTGTGATTCATCAAGGTTTCCTCCAATCAAACAGCAGGACCTGATGCGTGCGTAAATCGTGTACATTTGTTTCCACATGTTAACACGTCAACGTGCTGTTAAAACTAATGGAAAACATTCCCAAAACAAAAAAATATAATTATTAAAAGGCGCCATTTTCCTTACATTTTCAAAATGTATTGTATGAAACTTACCCATTTAATTTACAACAAAGGAGGTCTAAGTTGAGTTTATACAAATAAAGACCCCAAACTCCCCAACCTGACCCACTAAGTTTTCCTGTCATCAAAACAGCAGGATCTGGCTTGCTTACGTGCGTAAAAAAAATGCCTAAATGGTTAGCACATGAATCAAAATTAAGCCACAGAATTAATTTTTTTTCTGTTGAATACTATCTGTACCTTAATTGAAATAGTGCCCACTACATTTACAAAATAACAAGGTCATGGGAAGATGAGCGTCTCTGAATTTTTAGTTTGGCTCTATAAATAAACACTCCGAACACAACCCCCCACTCTGACCCACCAAGTTTTCCTCTCATCAAAACAGCAGGACAAACTGAAACAACTGTTGTGCGTGTTTGTTTGTTGTCTCTCCAGGAACATTATGTGATCAGTGGATGATGTTTACAGTAAGGACAGGTCAGCTGCAGGGCTCAGGGACAACAAATGGTGGACTCTACTTCCAATGTTGAGGCACATCATTCTTCTACAGTCTATAACCTTATCGTGTATTTATAGTATATCATGTTTGGGGTATAATTTTGGAGAATTTCCAAGAAGATACAGGATACAACATACTCTGTCTGTATCAAAGAGGTGTTCATTAAAACTCTGTGGTCATTTTTGGCTGTAGTTCCTGAATAACTTAAGGGTCCCCAAGAGGGAACAAAACATTTACATACATATAATTCAATATAATACCAGCAACAACTGACATTGTCCAGTTGCTGGTTGCCCCCTCTCTCCTCTCCCCACCTTACCTTTCATTTGAGAAAACTTTATTTAATTTATACCAGATCTACAGCCACCCCTGTATTATGTCCTCCCTCAACAAATGTATGTGCACTTTCTGGTCAGAGGCTAACTAGTTATGTGTGTGTCAGCAGCAGCAGTGTTTAGGTTGAAAGTACCTGAACTGGAGCTACTGGTGGGTTTCTGCTTCGTGTTCTGGCGGGATTCCTTCATCCAGGGGAAGATCTGTTTGCGAGTAGTATAGGTCGGGGAGCCGTTCTTGGCACTGGGCTGGTTGGACCCGTTGCTTGTGTTTTGGCTGATAGCACCGGGGGATTGTGAGGGAGGAGGTGGGCCTGACACGGGCACCTGTGGTTGATTGCTTTCGGGATGAACCTTGGACTGCGCCGCCTGAATGGCTGTGGTCCTGTCGCAGCTCTCCGCCATCTCCCCCGGCTTCTGCAGAGCCACGGAGCCGTCAGGAGACTGCAGGGAGCAGGCAGGTCGATGGTACTCACTTTCCACATGAGAGGCCCGGGGATATTGGACCTGATTGGCATCATAACTGAAGCCATTTGCGCTTTGATATGGGTAGCCACTGTAAATTGCGGAGCTGTCGTAGTAGGTTGCCTTTTGCATCTCGCCGTTTCCCAATATTTATTTCAGAAACTGACAGGGTCTTGACACCCTTGTAGAATAACATTGGCACCCCGTGGTCACGTGACGCCTCTCCGCCAATGGCCTCCTCGGGTGAACCTAGGGTTACAAGACGCACTGTGAGGAGAAGAAATGGTGGCGATCCATCTTACTTTTCAATACAGGCCTGACACTGGAGACTATGGAAGCAAGATAGGGCCAACAGTTCTGTAGACTATTACCGTTTACCTTATGGCTTACACAGGGCACAAAGGCACGCACTAACCTTGTATTACCATCTGTGCCAAACCACATCAAAACAAACCTTTTCAAAAGCATTTCAGACTGCCAAATCAATTTTAGGACCTAACAAGAAACTGCATGCCATTTTAAACTTCTGAGTCTATTAACAATGAAAGTGAATACAGAGTTACAGAACACCTTTTGCAGAAAATGCTGTAAGTAAAAAGTGTGCTGTAGGGACATCTTATTAGTGGGTAACCGCACAGGAAAATAATATCACTGATATATTGTTATTTAGCCAACAGGGCCGTCAACAATGTATATAATACTTATGTAGAAATGAATGCATTCCATGTGGCCAATAAACTTTGAACACATTTTTTTTTTTCACTGTGATTTAACAAACAATCGTCCTTCAGAAAACAGGATAGATCTCAATGCGCTGTGCTTCCCCGGCCACCTGACGCAATGCATAAACAACCGCATTCTCTTTCTTTTCTGTCTTTTCTTTGTATGCTGCAAGATACATGGAAGGAGCACGAGGAAACCGGAAAAACTGGGCGAGCCTCCGTGCATCTCCATGACCACGGTGTGAACTTTTCCTTGCAGGCCCATAATAATGGCTGCTGTCGGTGCTGTGTGCACGGCGGCCCGTCGCACACATCGTGATATATGGGGGTCAGTGGGCCGGGACGGCCTGCTCAGAATGAGTGGCCCGGTGCGCAGCCAAGCCCGGTACTCAGGCGGACAGAAACCCGGCATGGTACAGGTAGAGCCTGCTGCTAAACCATCATAATTCACGCAGGTAACCATGGGGATCTTTCTCTAAAAGCTTATTGGGGAAACTATAAACCATAATAGACACAGATCCAAGGGTCATCATGGGGAAATATTTTATGATGTCACATTACTAATGAAATAGCGAAATATTTGATGTGGACTTCCGATGTTTTAACCATTGCTATTTTAAATAGGAAAGTGAAATGCATGATAATAATTATTATTATAACAATAACAATACAAAGTAATAATGATCGCATTAACAATAATAATAATAATGTGCTGCAATACTTTTAAATAAAAGTGAATAATTTTCGTTAGGCCCATAGATATGAAATGAAACCCGCCCGATTCATATACTATTTGGTTGTGAAATTATGCAGTTCCTTTGTCTGGACTCTAGATTTAACAATTGCAGTCGATCCAATCAAGACAGCCGATAATTTCGACTCTAAATGTAATAAATAATAACTAAATAATAAAATCCAAAGAAATTGATTGCAAGCCTCACTTCAAATTTTCACTGCTGAAACTAATAGGCTGGTATTATGTGTCTGATAGTAAATGTGATCCCAACATTAACGATGTAATAAAAACTTCCTGATTTCAATCCATAGGTGTAGCCCATAGTATAGTCCCGGAGCAAACATAACGAGAATGCATTTTCATAAAATTAACGCAAAGAACTGAAAGGAAAATGTCGGCAAACTCTGGGTTTGTGCAACCGTGTAAAGCAAATTAGTATAAAATGAACCCCGAGCTTGTCCTCAATGTAGTTAAACCGCAGAGTGAAAGAAGGTGTCTTCGCTGTATCTGCACACACGATGAACTGGAGAAGATATCAGAAAGCTTTGTGGTCTGTATCTCCAGGCGAGCCATTGCGATAGTCATAAAAGAGAGAAAGAGAGACAAATGACAGACTTTCTGCGCAGCCCTCTGCTCCACGTTAGAGAAATCTGGCTGCCTGACTGTGTGTGTGTGAACTCTTCCTGAACCGAGATCTAAGTCATACGGTGATAAATCACCTCGCGACACACAAACTCCGCCATTTACAACCGAGGGAGCCTATTTCTGGCCTGCTTACCTTATCCTCTGACGACGAATGCAGAGCACCAAGCGATATTTTCTCATTCAGTGACGAAATCGATCAAAGCAGTAATCCAGAGAAAAGTTTAAAGGCAGGGCTGGCTGTGTGAAGCAGCAGCAGCAGAGTGCGCCCTGCCATGCACCAGGCATTAGCAGCCACAACAAAAAAGGGAAGAGCCGAGAGAACCCCCTTTCCTTTCCCCCTTTTCTTTTCCCCCCCTACTCGACGTGGATGGGTAAACCGAGATTACGGAAGCAGACGTGAGCGGTCGGGTCAGCGAGATAAGAGTTATCTGGCCTCAAGATTGAACGTATCGTCATGCTTTAGAGCAATGGCCAGGGCTTCATAGCAATATTAAACTCAGCCAAGGCTATGCTAGACGATGTGATCCTTCACCAGTACCATGCAGACACCAGTGAACTGCCCCGAACCAGAGCGTCACCATAGACAAAAAAAATTATGCAAATAAGTAGCGCCTTGGAAAGCCAGTTCAAATCAAGTGGCTGACTCTCCTCCTCCCCCAACCAAATGAGGTAGTGTATCTATAAAAAATAAAATCTTTACAAATATAATGGAAGTCCATCCCTAAAGTGTTTTAAATATTTGTATTATTATTTACTCCACGTCATGGTGGAATTATTATCCCAGTGAAGAAGATGTTGGAGAGAGGGGAGAATACAAAGGAATAATCAGCCGCTGACCATGCTGCATTTCCATTTCCACGGGACATAAAGGGCTTCTATCCGCGGCTTGATCATTAACCCGCATTTTTGCATATAGTCTTCAATCTTTAAGCGCAAGGGACGCGCAATTTGTTTTCATTCCAGCGCTGGTATTCCACTGCCTGCATGGCTTCTTATATGAAGAAGTATTAGTTTAAGAGTAGAAAGCACAACAACTTCAGATCAAAGCCGTGTTCGAAGTATGTCAAGGGGAAAACCCCACCGGGAGCAGGGTGTGGAAAATGGGAAGAAGGTTCATCACCAAAAGGCAGAGCGGAGGACATGCAGCGAGGAAGAGGGGAGAAGAGAGTCGGCAGCTGGGGGAATCCCTCTGCAGGGTAATGCTTCTCTTTTGCAGCCAAAGAAAGAATGGAAGGAAATAGATTTATGTCCTCTCAGCTTCGTTGGGCGGTAAACAAGTTCAGAGCTGCAGCTTCTTTGCTGGCTTCAGGCTCTGAGACAAAATCCAATGACAATTAAAATTACGTATAGAACACACGGACGGCGTGGGAGACTGAGTGGGACAAAAATTCACGCGTGAGGACTTTTTTTTAGCCAACTCGGCTTTTTTCTTTTTGAAACCAGAGTCACATTGTATAATTATTTACTTCTTTGTATTTTGATAAAATGCTGATTCGTCTCTCTCTTTAGTTTAGCCCTGAGCTGAGGGTGAAATGTCATGAAGTGGTGGTCGTATAGTAGACGCACAATATGGCGTAAAACAATGTGGGAGACAAAAAAAAACTGAAATGTTGATGAAAGAAAATCCGTTTTTAAAACTTGAGTGCAGTAAACTATATCAGCTACAAGCAGATGGCTTTCACTGAAAGTAGTTTTTGAAAGGAGTAAGGCACCGCTCCAAGAGCTGCGATTCCCCTCGTCACTTTTATAGTGACAAATTACACCACAAAGACAAGTGGAAGAGAAGGAATTATTGCTCTCGGGCTGGTCATATTGCTGCTAGGAGGAAATGTACAAGCCATAGGCTGCTTCTCTATTCCTGCAAGTGCTTTGGTGGGCGTGTGTGGTACTTATTAGAAATTGAATAAGGATATCACCATCAAGCATTCATAACACAAATCAATAAAGATATATGGACTTACCGAAAGCAGTTCAAGGTGTCTGGGAGACCGTGCGATGGCCTGAATTTACTTTGCTGGATTTCTGCATATAGAGGAATAAACATTTTCAATTTCGGAGAAGATAATACAACCTTTCAACCTGTTCCGGAAAATATATTAGTGCGATTTTAATTTTTTATGGTGAGACAGTTTGATTATAAATAAGTCTATTGTTAGTATACGTAATTGTTTTGGCCTATTCTTTTTAAAAGGCGCTGAATATAACATCTCGAAAACAGGCTAACCCTAATTTAGTCAAATTCGATGCAAGCATTTTCAAGATAATTATTTGGGTAAGATTTTAGATTTAGCAGCAGGCTCCAAGTCTTTGTGTTAAGGTATATCCTTACAGCTAAGGGAGAGCATTAATATCTTCATTATTTTTTTACACAACAAAATATCAAACAAAATATATGTATCAGTAGCAAACAAAAGAACGTAAAAACAATAGACAAAATGCATAAATAAGAGCCAGAATGCAAAGACCATCATCAGACAAAAATAACATTACAACCAAATATTGCTCCCCATCAGCGTAATATCACTAATAATATAAAATGGGACAGTGCAAATAACGTGTTTGTAGTTTCCCTGCTGGAACGGTAACCATTTTCTCCACAAACGGATCGAATAGTCATTAGCTCTCGCTCACCATCTTCCCCAAGTCCCTGCGCCCATAAATCAAGAAGGAGCGCCGTGACCTCAACACGGCCGCGCGATCCTGGATGGCACTCCTTCTTCCATTATATCCTCGTTTCCCTGGCGGAGCCACACAACCTCACTGCTTTCCCCCTACTTTTTATGTAAATCTTCTTGATGTATCATTTACGCACAAAACCCCACGTAAAGACGAGATGTTTTGTTTTATAGGACTGGTTGCACCTTGAAGCAGCCGCACGCTCTGCTTGGGGTCTTTTCTTGGAAGCCAATATTTAAATGGCCGCTTTATTTACAAACTGTTGTACGGGCCCCTTTATCCAAATGGCTGATTTTACTATTAAAAATATGAATACATCAAAAATAATTCAGTCTGTCTTACTCAAGTTTACATGGCAACTAACAATGGCTTCAATATAATGCTTAATTTAGGAAGCATAACATGGAAAAATGCCTATATCTTAATGGCCCACACAAAACCTTAAATCGTCACCTATATATATTGTGTGTAAAATCTGAAGGTCTGTTTATGTTTCATTCGATTAGCTATGATGAATCGGAGATATTAACAGATAAATTGATATCGGTGGCTTCTTGGTACCTGTCTACATTGTCTCGCCCTGCAGAAACCCTGGACCCCTATTTTACTGACCTCTGCCTCGCGCAGCAATAACTCACGACAGTAATGAACAATCGGCGGAAATACCTCAAAATAAAATCCATCCTCCAAAAGCTCGGTTTCTGACTCTGTCCGCGTGGAAAAACATATCCGTCCGTGACAGCAGTATAATACATCCACAAACCCGGGACCCTCTCTCTTTCAGTTTGTCGCTCTTTTCTTTTTCTCAGCTCGAAAAACAAACTATAAAGCCCGGACTCCCCTCACGGAAAGTGGGGGTAACCCGCATATAATCAGCATCATATGGCCAGACCGGGGCTCCGGTTTTCTTCCCCGTGCCATAACATCGCGCAGTATTATGCGCCCCACTCACGTGACGCAACGTCAACTTAAATCCCTTTTATTTGAGCCCGTGAATCATTAATGGAGGCAGTCATTGCCCCTGAGGAGAAACGGATCAGTTCGGAGGGAGAAAAAAAAAGAAGGGTATGTGACACTGCAATGTATCTGGCAGAGGAGCAAGTCTCTCGCAGAGAAGCAGCTTTTCCACGTGTCGCCCATTCAGAGGGAAAGACCGTTCTGTCAGTTTTAAAGTGCCATATATTTGGTGCCTGTTAGCGGCTGAAAGAGCTAAGGCTGCCTGTATTATGCAGAGTGTCAAGTGCAGCCAGCTCTGCTCTGAGCCAGGCTTAAAAACCAGAATGCTTGCACTGCAGCGTGACAATTCGCACTATGTGAGATGAAGAGGGCTTTCCCTACAAAATACTATTTAAGAGTGGCATAATGTCCAGCATAAGTCTACTCATTTCTCTTTACAACACAGCTAGGGCTGTGGAGAGCTTTACTCAATATCGCCCCCCTCGTCCACAGTCGCACGGTTTGGTTGTAGTGCCACTTAATCAGCATTTGGTTCTCCATCAGCGAAAGGCTTCATGCGTTTGGCCAAACAAAAAAAGGTCACACATTTACCTGTCCTACATAGGGAGGGTGTCCTGGTGGTCGTGAGGGATGTGTGTCAGTCAGCAGTGAGCGGAAAGTGGAGGTGAGGTAACCAAAGAGAGCCTGCTCGACCCCGCTGTTCAGTACATGGACCCTAATTTGACCTAAATGCACCTACCCGTTTCCTTTGACCAACTGACTGGTGTTAGAAATTACAGATTTTTTTACGAAGGATGAGTTTAAGTGTTTTGTAAGGGGGAGGGGTTGGGTGCAAAAGTGCCGTCTAAAACATAATCCTGCTGTTTGCCAAAACCACCATAATATAAACCAAATTGCTATCTATATAGCATGACATAGATATATACGCTGTGAAATGCCAAAAGTCCTATCCCGGAAGAGATTCTCTTCTCTCGGCACCGTTTGGCGCTTGTTTTCCGTCAACACCGAGCAGCGGGCGTGGAAAAATCCCACCACAACGATTAATCATTCGGGGCGGACATAGACAGCATCCCACTCCCACACCAGCCTTTGTCTTCTCAAACTACAACTTGAGCGGTAAACTTTTAAAGACAAGAACGGAAGCAGACCAGCTCTTATTAATTCACCTTCAACACTTCAACAACTGAAGAAAAGAGGAGGATTAACAATGACCAGGACTAGAAAAGAGGTTTTACGCACAGGTTTTAGACGCATGAGGGTTTTTGTTTTGTTACACAGTCTGTCTGTAATGTGTTATCATGTTCTCTCTCTGTTCTTGCAAATACAGATGTGGAGCTGTCACTGTAGGATTATATGGCTGGACATGACCGTGCTCTGGAAGCTAATCCCACTTTGGCTTTCGACACAGCACCTGAACTTTTCCCTGACCCGGGCAGAGGCATAGAGTCGAGTGGGAAGTTATTTTGGGTACAAAAATAAGGAGAAGATGGAAACCAATTAAAGGCCCGCGGCTGGTATCCTACATTTTATTTTTTGTTGCACTTTTTCTAGACTTGCCCTTTGCTCAAAAGTAGTAGATGATTGATTATGTTTTAAATCTGAACTGTTTTTGCATAAAACAAATGTTTCAGAGTTATTTACACAAATCAGGGCTCCTTATCACTGTCAGCAAAGAGGAGTTAGAGGCGCAGACCTCTGGATGTTGGCCAGACGGCGGTCCATATCTCCCCACAATGTTGACACTCAGACCTCTTAACAGCCAGGCTTGGGTTACCTACACTCAAGCGAAGACAACTCTTTCGGCGAGGTTTACATCGGCCAACATTAAGGCTAATGCGAAATTCAACGCCTTAAGCAGACTTGGAGACATCTCTCATGCACGGATGCAGACGAACTAAGACAAAGTAATTGTTTGCGTAGAGGTGGTTGCAATAAAATAATTTTCATGTTGAACTTACTGACTCTTCATGACTGAAAATGAAAATGTTCTTAATATAATATGATATAATAAAATAGTCTCACGGGAGTTCGTGAAATAGTCACGGAATGAAATATATTGGTAGGCTTTTAGTGAATTGCTGTCCGTTACATTTTGGAGGTATTTGCAAAATACGTATCATTATTATTATTATTAGCATTAGCATTGTCACATACCCTAGGTAATTTGTTAATGTTTAATCTGTGTCTAAATTGCCTATTGTGTTCACTCTCATTGAAAGGCTCTTGCAGACAACAGAAGCCCTTTGTATTGTTACTGTTGTTGAAATACACTTACTCTCATCTTTAAATTCAATAGTGGAATTATAGATTGATAGATTGATAACAAGCATAACAATTACAAACAGAAACGTTGCCAATTCAAAATTCATACAAACAACCACCAAGTTTTGTTTCATCTTTAATGTTTTTGAGGTCAACTTTGCAAGCATAATTGCAGGCCGATGCTTCATTTCGTTACTATTCATGTCAACTTTAAGTGATTTTGCCCAATAAAGTTTCAGCTGCACCCTCATCATTACCTCTGCAATCAAATGTGTACCAATTTATTTAAAAAAAATGTTTTTTATAAAACACTTGTTGGCAAAGTGATTATTACATTTCATCAACCTAATTTGTCGTGGTTTGAAGATTTAAGAAACTGGAAAATTAGACTTGCTGTCCTGTATCATATTTCCTATAGGTTCAAGTATCTTTAAACGTTTAAGCACAAACACATACACATATTATGTAATAAATATATTTTTTAAGTCAATAAACATGTTTTGCTGTCAAATTGAGAAATAAAATTAGTTGAGCTTAATAATGAATTGGAATATTAGCAAGCTCAGAAACTGTAAAGTAACGTATAGCTGGAAATAAGCAGATCATATTACAATATACGTGAATATTAACCGGAAGATCATGAAGCAAACTCCACTTCTGGTATATTCATACTATCCTTTAACACCTCCACAAACGGTACAAGGAAAAAACAGCCAAATCTACTCACAAGTCATCGCGGTCTGTGTCCAGCGGACAGTTTTCTGTGACTGTCAGATGAGAAGAGATCTGACTCGCACCCTGCAGAGCATCACTTCAAATGAAAATAAGGCAGATTTTCAGATCTATTTCTGACCCTGGGGCATTCATTATTCAACAAGTCACGTGAAAGAGCGGATTAAAATTTCAGTACATTGGAAGTGACCTCTATTCGCGAATTAAATGACTTGAAATCTTGTAATTTAACTAGTTGGACTTCTTGGAGTCTGCGCAAAATCGGTGCCAATCAGCCTCAACGCCATCTTCTGCACAGCTTCCATGTCTGCAGCAAGTGCTACACAGAGGGCTGGGTAGTTTAAGCGGAGAGGGTTTTTACATTTCTGCAGGATAATTTGTCTTATACAGACACAAATGTTGAGTGAAAGATGTAACAAAAACTGTATCAATGACTATAAAACCGTTTTTGTGTGAATTTGGACAATGAATCTGTCACTCTGTGACTTTTTTTCTGTGGGAATTTTGGCTCGTTCAGTGTTATCTAATTTACTATTAAATGCATTGCTGACCCATCCATTGTGCTATTATTGGCATATATATTGAGCAGAAACCATAAGTGCCAAAACATATTGAATATTTTGCACAACGCCAGCATGTTTCAGTTCATATCTGCCCTCTCTGAACGACCTGACAGGGGTGTTTTTGTGATATATTGCAGAAGAGCTGTCTTTAGGAATAATTTTAGGGAAATCTATGGCTCAGTTTCACACCTAAACACCGTTTTGGTTTCCACGCTGTCTCTGGGTAAATCGTAAATGTGAAGAAGAAGCCCGTGGAGGTCTTAGCACTGATGTATGGTCTGAACATTGTGTGTGTTGAAAGGTCAGGGGTCAGAAGAAGTGCTCTGAGCTGGTGATTGGCCAGAGCCGACCGTGTCCCCGGGTTGAACTCTCTATTGTTTGGATGTATCAGGTAGTGACCAACACTCACACTGGTGCACTGACGTTGGCTGCGATCTCCTTATAATGGCAAGAGAGAACAATATGTGAGGCCGGATACATTTAACACACTGGTTTGATTCCCGTATCAGTAGTAAAGCCTGCAAATCTGAAGCAGCTGATATAGCTGCCTCCTAAACCCCAACCACATGTCATATTTACCCACGAAAATCCGCATGACATTCTGGCACATTTCGGATTATAATTCCAGTCAGTGAGGATTGAAAGACATAATGGAGTCAGGCAAAAATACTTTTAACGCAATGTTTTGAATATGGAAATACTTTTTGTAAGACATAGTTCCTTCACAATAGGTTACACATATTAAACACCTGAAATGTTGGCTCTGTTACCATTTCTGTAAATATTACAGAAGAGAAACTGCGCAGCTTTGCGCAATAATTAACAAGTGAATCGTCTCTGCAAATAACGTATAAATAAACCAAATATAATTTGATTATATTTAGACAAAGTTAATAGTTAAAGTATTATTAAAGTGCGGTGCAGTAAACTCTCCAACGTTCGGTCACAATTGTACGCATGCAATTTTACGCACACTATCATAATTATACGCATTCATCTCCAAACACTGGATAACTGATAAAAATGCTTTATGAATCACAGTTTTTTTTCATTCCACTTCCATGCACTGTAATTAAAGCAAACGACATGGAAGTAAAATGTTCGAATTTGAAAGTGTAATCCCCAAATTATTAATATTTTTTTAAAGAGGTAAATACATGCATCTGGCATGTTTTTACGCACGGCTTCAAAAAATACATATTTCGCAAAAGCCAAGTCAGTATTTGCAATTACATAATATCCAAAACAAAGTCAACCTTATAAGTGAAGTACATATTTATTTCACAAGGACAGACTGAGCCTACACTAGCCTACATCACAAAGGTCATTACTGAGACAACAGATACAAATATTCACAGTTTAGAACACAGCACAACATGGGACGGACTAGCACGAATAAACCTAGACCTTACAATACCAACAAACATATTTCTACGTGACGAAATGCTTCTCTTGTTGTGCCTTCATTATGATTTGCCTATGTACATTAAATGTGAAAGTCACCATGGACTACATTCAACAGTAAACCAACCGACTCAAACACACAAACTACACTGTTACTCTGACTGATGCCATACCTCTAAACAGCCATCTAGAGTCTCGCTAAATATATTTCAAGTATATTAGAGCTTTCCATGAGAAATAATAATAAAAAAAACAATACTCAAAGAAAAGATAGAAAAATGAGTTAAAACGTACTTTTAACTCACTCAATTTTAACTGCAATGATACATTTTGATCCATACGTTTGAATGTGCGTTATCCTTCTTTCATAATAATAAACAAATATATAAACACTTCAGTTGCCATCGTGGCAATTAAAGGTGAATTTCAAGCTTATATGAAGAGGGCGAGGACGACCGGAGAGGAGAAAGGGTACAAAGGACGTGATAGGGGCCCAATGGCAGAGGCAAGGTGAAATAGATAACACCATGTGTAAAATACTGAGAATCGGTCCATCAAATTCCACTTGTGATATTTGCCATCTCAGTCTGGATTGGGTTTTTTGTGGGATGGGGTTCATTCAGGCACTATAGACCTGCAGTGCACGGCGTGGGGACAAGCTGCTGGCCTGTTTTGATCTGCTGCTGCTGCTGCTGCTGCTGCTGGGCCCCCGAGGCTGAGGACGAGGCCGAGGTGGAAGAACGGATCTTGGTGTTAGGAAGCTTGTGCTCTTTCTTCCACTTCATCCTCCGGTTCTGAAACCAGATCTTGACCTGGCGCTCTGACAGACACATGGTGTGCGCAATCTCCACCCGCCTGCGCCGGGTCAGGTACCGGTTGAAATGGAACTCTTTCTCCAGCTCCAGAGCCTGCTGGCGGGTGTAGGCAGTGCGGGACCTCTTGGGCACTCCTCCAGTGTAATTGGGATTGACTGGAGGGGGGGAAAAGCCATACACAGGCATGCAAGCAGGTGTTACATCCAGGCTGATATAGCGTTTATTCCAAACCAGTAAAGTTCCTCCAACGGACATATTAAATGGTTGAAAAATTCTATAATATTTCTGGGTTTGGTGGAAAATCACAGCCACTCTGTTTGTTTTACTGTCTGCCTATTTCAGTTTACGGACATGGCATTAATGTGGAGATGCGAGTGTACAAGCACTCGCATCCAGGGACATATCAAGCTTAGAAATGATTAACAAACAGCGGGGTTGGATATTACAGTTTGGCTCGGCTCCAGTGGTGGAGGTAGTTTGGGTTAAAAAGCAACAAAAGCACATGGCCCCGACAGACGAACACAGGCAATAAAATTTACGAGGGTCCTTAATTACCGACCCTGCTGCTCGATAGTCGTAAATTGCTGTTGTAAGGGCTGCTACTAGTGCTGCCTCAATGGGCTTGCGTGTGTTCCAGTGGTTGTTTCTCAGTGGTTCTGCTATTTAGCCGTGGCGATAACTCACCGTTGTTAACGTGGACCTTTTTCATCCAAGGATAGACCACCGGCTCCTTGCCCTTCGCTACACCGGGATATACCTCACCGGCGAGGCTGCAGTCTTTGCTCGCATTTGCCCCTGCGCCACCATCTGGGGCCGCGGTAACGCGAGGACCGTGGCTCTGTGGAACCGGTTGCGGCTGTTCGTGATGTCCTTCGCCGAAATCATCGAGTCCGGTGGCGGGAACGTTGCCGTAATCGTACCCCGTTTCTGTATAGTTTGACCTCGGATAGGATTGCTCGTCGTGATGGGGGAAGCCCGTATCTTTTGACCGCTCGTAGTAATCACCAGGGTTGGGGATGTATCCGCTCTGCTGATATTCGTCGCATGGAGGAAAGGAAGGCTCGATATAGTTGGAGTTTATCAAGTAGGAACTCATGGTCATTAATTTGTGAAGTGCAACAATACTAATTTTTATCGCGCTGTCGTTTTTCTGATCTCCACAAAACCCTCCTACTCCCTGTCAAATGTACAAAGTTGCCTGGTCACGTGCGAAGCGCCACCAATCACTGCGCATCCTGTGGGCATCATGTAAACAGGAACCAATGGAAAGCATGGCATCGGTACCACCAACACTGCTTGGACTGGCTTACGTTGATGTTTTCCTTATTAAATCACAGTATATAAAGCAAAACCAATCAACTAACTTGTTTACTGCATGGGGCCAAACTTATGTGGGTGAGGCTTTCCTCCATGTGATAAAATCCACCTCCTGTGTAACAGAAAGTGGATATGAAATCCAAGCCCTGACAAAATAAAGGTTAACACAAACAAAGGGCAATTTCTAATAGCTAGTGTCGTGAATATCGGTTGTTGGAGTTGAAAACGTGTTGAGTCATAATAAAGACACAAACAGGGAAACAAAAACACGCCAATACAACAGTGCAAACTGTAATGTTGTATAGCTTATTCAAATGATCGAAAAATATAACAATGCATAAGCTTCCTGCAAGCACTGACGAGCCGCTGTTCTGCGGACATACAAGCCTGCCTATAAAGCATATGACATGTGCATCAGTGAAACCCGCTGATGATCGCTTATGACACACTTAAAAACAAGAGAAAACACTCATCTCTCACGTTGCACACCACCGTAAATCCAAAAGACTCCCTTTTCTTCATTCCATGTATACTGTATGTGAAAACGGTTGTTTTAAGCAATTGGCCAGGACATAACAATAATTTCAAGCTATTTCTGCTGTTTGTACCACATGCAAGTTATCTGGCTCTGATCGCACTGCCATCGCGTATCATCAGTTCTGCTGTGTTAACTGCCATTGAAAGGAAATCCAAACACCGGACAAACAATTACAGTGGTCGTACCTTTCTTTATAGCCACATACCAAAGAAAGCGTGGCATTTTCAACCAACATAGACCATCTACAGTACATGCCATCATTTCTCTCTACAGCACAGATAATCTCTTATCCAATAAAATTGTCCAAATGTGATTGAATTTGGAAATTGTTTAAACCTTTCAAAGGAACAATTTCCCAACATTTCAAAACAAATATGCAGTATCTTAACATGACTTTCCTGTGCGTCCTGCACCACCACTTTACTGTAAACAACCAAGGCTAAGGTAATAACATTGCCCTGTATTAACTAAAATATGTTTTGAAGAGAGAGGATACAAAAAGTTTAAAGGGGCAAAAATGCCAGGGTTAAATAATTATAGCAATAATAATACTAGCAGTAAATGTAATTACTGCAGGGAGACTTCCATATATAAAAATAGATTGAACATCAATAATTTTGAAACTGCATATTTCCAAGGTAAAAAATATTAAAGTATCTGACCGTGCTCCTCGACATCAGCCATCAAGTCCAGGTCCTGTTTCCTCCCCATGTCCGAGGTGGCACACTGTATATGTGTAACTTGAAGATGCAGCAGCTCTTCACAAAGTGGATCCACACTGTCCACCTCAACAAGGCCTCTGCATGGAGAAACAAGAGGCCAAACTTTGGAAATATTGAAAGCTTTCTTTTCTCTCCTTTTTCCCTGCACCCCCACCCCCCCCCCCCCCCCCCCCCCCCCCCCCCTATTCCATTCGCTCCTCTCTAAACAGAGATAACTTCTGCCTGACCCCGAAGTGACACCGTTTCCATTTTGTTTCTGATTAATCTTTCCCATTGACACTCTTTGTTAAACAACAAGGCGTGCCCTTTTTCCAAAGAGGCGACATTTTCATATCTGTTAGACGCAGTGACCTGGGGTTCACCCCGGACTTGGACTTCAGTTTTGCAGGCTCTGTTCAGCCCTCGGGAGTTGGCGGAGCACTTAGCTTGGGTCAGCACCCAGGAAGGTTTTTTTGACTGTGCAAAATACTTCAAACTATCTAGAAAATCACACGTAAAACTATGTGTTCGAATATGTGGAATAGGGGATATTGCAACTAAAGAAATTTGCTGCAGATGGTCTGATATAATATTTGATAAAAAAAAATTCACAGTGCAGATCTCCGTCACTAAACCAGAGGCAGGCCACAAATTCTCCTCTTCAAAAGTACCTTTTTTTTGTAGCACACTGTTGCTGTAAGCCAGAGCTGCTACTAACAGGCTTTCTTGCACCTAACTCATTGTAAATGGCAGCTGATGTACTTCTATATCCACTGTATCCATATGGCCAAGAGACCACCTGAGAGGCAATATGTCAACATAATGTCAGCGGTAAGACGACTACACCTCATATCTAAATTTACATTCTGCTGCCATTCTATTACATGTATACTGTATAAATATGGGCCAGATCAGCTTGTCTATTATCCACTTACTCGGATTTTACAGGTCATTCTTCTTGTTTTGCTATATGAAGTATTTTTTTCTTTGTTTCACTCGTGAATGACTTTTTTTAAAAACATATCATGATTCAAGAGTCCGGTTCAGTGTTACAAAAGAAGTCTAATGGTGCTGGTAACGCCACCGTTATCTAGTCCAGGCCTGCAAGGTGCTGCGGTATATTTGAATGCAATAAAGCATCGGGAAATCTCTCGAACAATGCAGCATGCACAAAACATAATAGGACATCAGAAAAATCATCAAATTGGCCATTGGAGTAAAAGGAAGCAATTGGAAGCTATAGTTAAAAATAGCTTATACAATGTAAGTAATTTTCCACTAAATTTAAACACCTACTTTGCTCTTAATGTGAATAAAACCCGTTACAGCTTTGTGTTAAGAGATCTTTATTTTAGGACTAAATAATAACAGCCAGATCACGGTGTTCCCTTTCAGAGCATATACTGTGAGGTGAAGGTCTATTTAGCCAATATACATCAAGCTGACACTTTACTGTAAATTTAGATTATCAGAGAAGTGCTGTGACGATAGTGACAGATTGCAGATGGCTCTCACAAGGTCTCTTGTCTACGGAGCCCTGACGGCGGGATAAAAAAATCCTCTCTGCATTCAAGATGTGCCTAGGATTCGGGCCAGAAAACACCTTTCATGCCTTAATGGAAATATTTTTATATAGGTATAGACTGGTAATACAATATTTTTCTTTTATACAGTATGTCACGTGTGATTGTCCTTTCCACCACTTCACATCAAGGATTGGCACAACGAGCCTTCACAATAACTATGGCTTTGGCTGCAGTTTTAATACAGCCTATAGCTGCAAACTTTGATTAGACAGAAACATAGTGACTTTCAAGCCTTCAACGGTATAAAGAGACGAACAAAAGCAGCTCCATCCTTTAGAAAATGCATGGTCAACTTCTTTATTCCTCTAAGTTAAGAGCTGCATGTTATAATTAAACGTATTGAGACAGACTATTTCAGAGAAGGGCGACACTATACAAATGTTTCAAAAACTGAAGTAAGTTGAAGACGTATTACAAATGTAAATATATATAAATAAGTTGGAGTGTGCACTTTAAGGTAAGTTAAAGATCAGAGTGCCATTCTTTTATTAAAATGTATGAAACGATGCTTTTTATTGAAAATTATAGAGTGAAATAATAACATTTGGCATATTTACTTTCAGGTGACCTCACTTGCATCGTATCGGGACATTTCCATTCTTCATTGACAAGCTTTTTATGTTTAATTCGATAAACAAAGTTTTGAATGAGACCCGTCTTCTCTTATTTTCATTGAACTTTGTTTATACATTGCAACATTTTCAAAGTGCAAAGCACATATTGTGCCGCGCAGTGCACATGCCGAGAAATGTGCTAAATTACTAGAAATCAATTAGGATTTGTAAAACGTTCCTTGAAATAAAGTTTTTCTTCAATTAATTAAATTTTGACATGATAAAAAAAATGTATGAACCTTAAAGTACCAATATAGTCTGATTTTTTTATCAAAGGGATCCCAGATTGCAAGTTTTTCTATTCTTCTATTATTATTGTGAAACAAAATCGTGTGATCCATGCAGTTGCATTGCCGGTTGCATATAATAAGTTATGTGATTCAACCCAGACCCAGTGTAAGGCTTTTTAAGCATAATGTCAATATAGTTAATGTTTTTTGGTGTCAATTTGGGTTTGTTATCAGCCATGTTGTTTTCACTTGTATGTTTCATTGAGCTCTCACACGTACAAACAAAGGTTCAATGCTTTAGCTTATCTAAGAAATAGCTGCATTCATTTTCGAAGGGGATTAAATATAGGCCCAGTAAAAATAAAATAAATATAAAGCCTATATTATATTTTTCTACAATTTAAAAAAAAAACGTTAATCTATGATTCACAAAGACATCTGTGCCATTTCTATTTTCCTAAAAGGCTTCTATTCATCGGATCAGGAAGAGAGGGGCTAAATGTTTTTTAAGGGGTCCGGGGGCTCAATTTGGGGGCTGTGGGCCTTCCCATTACCCTGTGACCGGGTCGAGAGTATCAATCCTCAAAATGCAAATTTTGCCCTCGTCCCTAAACATATCAAATGCAATTTATTCAAAGGAAATTCACCAATCAACCGCCTTAATAAAACGCCAGCCACTCAATCTTGTTGCTGGGGACGGGTGGGGGGTCCCCTCCCCCGGTCCCAAACGCGAGGTCACCGCACTTTCAGGGTTCACCTGGAGTGCAACGTGCAACATATGTAATTCAAAGCTATTCTGTCTTTTGTGTGGAGAGTCAAGATCGCTATTATAAGGCTGGCATCAAGCTCCGAGTGAACAGATGACGGAGACTTGTTCAGCGCCTAAACTTTTGACCCCAATTTTTTCTCATCTTCTGCTGCTATCTCGCTCTCATCTGTCCCGGCCCGGTGAGATATCTGCCCCTCTCGAAACGAAAAATTGATTTGAACAATGTGTATATCTCTTGCCATCACGATGATCATTTTCACAAATTTCATAATTAGTGAAGATGCCAGCACAATACCTAAAATGCAATTGTAGCTGTATGATGTTTCCAACGAGGGAGTGAAAAGATAAATCCAATAGGCTTCCACTCAAGACTAATAGGGTCGTAAAATATGCAAATCATTCATTAGCGTTATAGAGCAACCAAAGCAGCCAACAGTCTTTGTTGGAGGCAACACTTAAAGTTAGACTCCCCCTCTCACTTCACATAGTCTTCTCCTCCAGTGCAGGACGTTACCACAGGCTCTGTGTCCCTCGGTAAATTAATTTATAGGCATTATGCTTATAGGCAACGCCAAGCACACGTGTCATTAAAGTGAAGGCGAGTGTGCGCGTAGTAACGTGGATGTGCGATAGTTTCTCCTCTCTATATACAGCAGGGTGACAGTGAACTTGGCCTAAAGCGAGCTCTGCTGGTGGCTCTGAGAGGATGCAGATTTATCTTGGTGCTGTGGCTGACCTCCAGATGAACCTACAGCGCGTCTCTCTCGCTCTCTGCCTGGCAGTAGCACATGGGGCCCTGTCGAAATTTCTCCTTTTGAATTATTGGCAACGGTTTTCATTTCCAAATAGACACATTCTCTTTCCCGTTGGATTTTTCTGTGTGTCTGAACTCAAGTTGGAAATAGTGGAAATTCCGTATTTCGTTAAAATTGTTATTATTTACATAACAAAGAATATAATTTGTTGAACAATAAACCGAGGGATATTAGCAGTTTGGATTAATTCTGCTAATTTTACAATTGGTGCAACCTTTGATTGATGTTTGATGAAAACAAGTCCATATTTAAATCAATTTTGGAAGAATTGCCCCTCATCTGTCCAGAATGTATTTTCAAAGATTGAACAGATTTTAAAATGGATTGAGTAAGTTATCTAAGGTGGTAAATATATTTTTGTATTTGCGGAAAATTTGAGAAACAACCAGTAATGAGTCCATACAGAAGGCCTTTGCACCAAAAATCTAACTTGGTATTTAAGTTTTGATTGCATGCGGACAATGTTAGCTTTGCAAATCCACCCAGATAGCAACTTTAAGAAATCTGGGTGTTTTTTTGCAAGTTTATTGCTATTGCTGCAAAAAACTCACAAGACTCAAATAGAGATATCCAAAAATTGTTTTCATATTTGGCCTGGAGATTTCAATTTTGAAAGTCGAGTCACATACTCTTTAGTTATAAAAATACGCAGAGGCGTAAAAAGAAAAAGGCCAACGCATCCAAAAAAATCATTTGAAACGATTTTTATGTTCATCCTATTATCAATCCATGTTTTTTGAATCAGGGTACGCTAGTGGCTGGTTTCGCCCTGGCACTGGTCGGACAAGAGGTCACCACAAAGCGAGAGTGACTTTTAAGAGGTCATTTGAACTTTTCAACCCCAAACTCAAAACGACGTGGCTGACACAAAACGGAATTCCTTTTCAAACGTCTCCCCACTGCTGTTTGTTTCCATGTTGTGTTTACTTGACAAGGTTTACAGCCCGTCCTAAAGACATACACGGTGCCAACATGTGGAGCGCAGCGCTCAGCAAAACAACTGCAACTTTCTTTGTTCCAGGGATGGACCGAGAACTTCCAAAAGTCATCAGCACATACAGAATCCAATCAAACGGAGCTAGTTGTAAATCTGTAGGCCTGCATTAGCAGTTAACTTTATCAAGGAAATCTCCACACATCCTTTGGAAACTTTCTGGTTCACGGTCTGTGAATTCTCCAATGTAATAAAACGACAACAACTAGAAGTTTGTGGGGGTGGAAATGGACACAGGGATAATTATCCAACATGTAAAAATGGATTATGAGTTGCACCACAGATGGAGGGAAACAAGTTACACGGGGAAGGAAGCAATTAAATAGCCATGAGCCGGACCCAACCCTGCGCAACATCTGCCGAGACCAGTATTCAGCACTGCACAACTGACAAATTAGTGTAATGGACTAATAGGGGCAGATAGAGGGAGCAAATACAATAATAAGGCTGTTTAACACAGGCTGGCTTTTCTCGGGCTACCGGATAGTCTGCAGAAACTTACCCAGAGACGCGGTCCTCATCCTGGAAAGCGTCCGGTCCATACTGAGGCAGACTGAGCAATAGTGACGGTCTGCACCGGTCAAGTAACACTTACAGCCTGCAAAGAGAGAGTCAGACGAAGCCTCACCGTCAGTGCGATTATATGTTATGTGCAATATACTGTCAACTCCCCAAAACCATAAAACTTACTTTAATGGCTACCACGTGACCGTTTATGGCCAGTGAGCCTATCTGGCCGCGCTCCGGATGATTTTTACGATCTAATTCATAGACAAAACCCCCCATTCATTTAGCACCCAAATGTCAGAGAGCTAGAATCGGCCCTAATAAAGTTGAAAGCTTGAAAAGTCGAGCTGTTTCTTAGGGAATAGCCCAGGAGTCTGTGCGCAAGGGAACGCCCGGCCACTGGAGCTGGTTAGTGGCCAAGGACCCCTAAGCTCCCCGCTCCACAGCAAGGTGAGTAAAACATGCAGCTTTCATTCAAGGGGACCTGTTGAATTCGAGGATTTTACTAGAGGAAACTTTTTACAATGTCTGACAGCTCATACTGGTGACTTCAAGATTTTAGACCAAACAGCAAGTTCTGACCTTTCTTTTCCACGATGCAGTCGTGGCAAACGTCTAAACAAACCCTTAACATTTTACAAAAACGTCCACTCATTGTAATGTTGCCGTTCCAGTAGAAAGTTTATTATAATGGCCATTATCACCGTCATCATCATCATTATTAATATTATAGTATATTCTTGACTTCCAGTCTTTGAAAAACATTTACAAAAAGCTATCACGATGGAGTTATACAAATAGGCAATGGGTTTTACTGTGGGGACCCTCCACATAAAAACAGCTAGAGAAAACAAAGACAAAACACGGTTTTACTAAGATGTCCAGGTGAACAACGCAAACAGCAGCCAAATAAAAAAACAAAAACAAAGATGCAAGGCACGGCTACTGTACATTCAAGACTGAGTCGCCACCTCTGTCCATTCATGTGTTCACAACGCACACAATAACCACACAAGGCTTACGTACTTTGCTGGCTCTACTTTTGGAAGCAAGTTATCTGACAAGTTGTTACATTACATCAAACAAATAAATACATACATATACAGTACATACATAGAAAACGAAGGCTAAACACAAAGGCAGCTCAACCTCAACCCTCTATTTCTTAGGCTGGTATTGTTCTGAGTGCATTACACAACTTTTACTGGATTTATTTGCGGTATAGGTAGCATTTCAAGCTTTGACGTTTTTATTTTTTTTCGTCTGAACAAGAAATTATTTAAACAAACATTTATTTCGTTTCTTTTTCTACTAAATCTAGACAGAACTGTACATAATGCATTTTTTTAATCACATAAGCATTACCATGGTGGAAATAAAAAGTAAATAATATTAAGGAATATAATGGGACGGTTGTTGAACATACAGTGGACTTGAGTGGGGTGTCCCCTGTCCCGCACACAGCCCGTTCACAAGTCTCTGCGATTTTTGACATAGGAGGAGGAGTACGTTGATATGACAATCTTTGTTTTATTTTCATAGTGCTCGCTATCAGGGGTGGAGGAGGGAATATCAAGGCCTGTAGCCTCCCCCGCCTGCAGCCGCCATGTTCATGCTCTTCAGCTTGTTGTCTTTCTTCCATTTCATCCTTCGGTTCTGAAACCAGATTTTGATCTGTCTCTCCGAGAGGCAGAGGGCATGGGCTATCTCGATCCTCCGCCTGCGGGTCAGGTACCGGTTGAAGTGGAACTCCTTTTCCAGCTCCAGGGTCTGGTAGCGGGTGTACGCAGTCCTGGCTCTCTTCCCCTCTGGCCCTGACAAATCTATAGGGGGGGGGGGAGATATATGAGACAAAGTGGATGTTAAAACAAAACAGTACAGAAACTTCTTTTGACCACATTTCTCTTTTTTTGGTTGTTTTTTTTTAACCTTTTTTTGTTTCTGCAGGAATGGCTTAAGAGTTGACTACGTTTATGCTTAATAGACCCCCAAATTATTAAAAACAACAGTAGCAATGTAAGATACACACCCTTTCAACGGAACCTTGCGAAAATGAATAAGTAATGAAGTAGTAAGGATGTAACATGTGGGCTATTTAACCTTAAAATACACTATAACCTATAACACAATGATCTAATATATATTTTAACTAACTTAAACCATATATATATATATATATTAATGAAATGATCCCTACCTGGTCTATGCTGACAGTACTAAAAAACAGTAATACACCAAACAGGTGAGAGGCGCATATGGCGCTTCATGTCCCTTTGAAGGTAAATACATTCTGTGTCAAAATTGTCTAATTTTGGCCTGTTTTGCTTCTGGTTAAAAAGTCTGAATACGCTCTAAAGAAGATCACATCTATACCAAAGAAGAACACAGCACCGAGTATCTAAAGTCAATACAAGATCATTAAAAATTGAAATAGTTTACCATGATTTATATGTAGTTTTCTCATCCATGGATATATCTGAGGCTGTGTTGAGTCGGTGACATTTTGAGGAGTTGTTGGTGCGCTTCCTGCAGGCTTCTCTTCCTCGAGGGGCGAAGCTTTGGACACACAGTCCCGGCTGAGCAGCAGCGTGCCTCCGTTGGAGTTCGAGCACGGGGTCGTTAGAGAGTTTTTCACAGCTCGGTGTTGAGATTGAGTGTCGGTGACCGGGGATGAGGTGGCGACCGAGGAACACGGTAGTGGTTCAGGTGGTGGCGAAAGAGACGATGTCCTGGTGCTGTTGGCGGACTGAGTGTACCTGACCGGCTCCACCGAGGGTGTTGTCGCCGCTGAGTGACTCGGGGAGTATCCCTGTGTCCGCTCGCTGCCTACAAAGTGTCCGGTATCGGTCCGTCCGACTGTTAGGTCCATCCCGTTGTAGCCATAGCCATACCTACTGGAATGCACGGCGGTTGAGTCTCTGTATTGCTCGTTTGCCGTATTATGGTCTCCATAATTATGTAACTGGAAGTCCGCGCCATTGGGATAGCGACCGCAGAATGAGTTCACAAAATAGGAGCTCATTTGTTGACAATTCCACCGTTTGCTCGTTGTAGGTATTTGTTGTTGTTTTTATTGTTTTAGAAGTAAAATAGCAAAAACCTATGTGCTTGATTTGTGGCTCTTATGGTTTAGCGCGTCCTATAGCACCCTTGCACAATTTATGATGAATTATGGAAATGAGTGGGACATGGACTTGATTCTCTCTTACGTAGGCACCCAAATATGGGGTACGGCGGAGTATCACGTGCTTTTGTTGACCAGTCGTAAATCCTGCTTGGTGACCTCCAGAGGTAGACTCGTGCACGGAGGAAATACTGGGTGGGATGTGAAGGGGGCGCGCCTCCATGCGCTCGTGGCTAGGGCGAACTCTGAGCCACAGCTTGGGTGTTTTGGATTGTCGTGGTGCGCCATCCTCTGGCTCAACTGTGTCACTGCCTGTCTGCGGTGGTTTCTGAGGCGTGGGCTCCACATGGGGTCATTCAGAGGTTAACGACCATTGCGGCAAAAACCAACGGGCTCCTAAACAATACAACAAGTGACATGCTGAGAGTGCAATCTCTGCGAAGATAGTGTACAGAAATAATTCGATCAGAATGTGTTATGCATGTTATGATAGGCGATGGGTGCAAATAGTCTGCGCAGTTAATAGAATAAAAGCCCATTCAAAACAGGTCTGCGCTTTTTCACACTTTCTTATAATCAGAAAACAAACGAACAGCCACTAATGTGGGAAAAGACTAATGATTAAATGTTTTGGGCAAAGCAAACATCACAATGTTGAATATTAACACATATACTGCCATTCAAGGACAGTCCTTTGTGTGTTTGCCACATTGAATAATAGATAACTTTGAATATAGGCTATATATGAACACACGTAAAACCACTTTACTGTTTATTTTAGGTTGTTTTACGATTCCGAACAATAGACCTTTAGATGTTGTGATCATTTTACATGTAACCCGACTTTATTACGCCATCGAGGCAAATCGTCATTCATATCGACTTGTAAACAGTCAACATCTTATCAAATTCCATTTTTTTGTATGTGCACGTTTGTGATCAACACAAAATTGAGAACAACATAAAACTTATTTTCTAGCAGCTATTCAGCGTAGAGTAGTCGTACAGTCACTGTGCCGTTTAAAGAAACAAAATAAATGACATTTGAAAGGAATTAAAAGGGGCAATATTCGAAACGATTAATGTATAAAAAGAAGCCAACTTATTTGAAATATCAAAGGTAAAAAAGCCACAAAATTCAGATGATAAGTCGTAATTTGTATTTGTACTGGAAGCTATTCATATTTAACATTGGGCTACAAATTGGTAGAGGATATGAATTTCACTTAATTCACTTACATTTATAAACAAATTTAAATATAGACGAGAGACAATGTATATGTATTATTGAAGTATCTTTTTAAATCATTTGTCTACTTGGTAGATTATAAGACAGCACAGACTTAAATTAAAGATGATTGATTATCAAAATGATTAAAAGGTAGATTCACCTTTTTAGTTTTCGGTAAAACGTATTAAAAATAAATTAATAAGTAATTACAATCTGAAGCTCTCTCCAGCTATCACTGTAGCTCTTACTGTAACCTGGCCATTGCACTTCAACCATCTATTGTCTGTGTTAAATCTGAGCAGGAAAACAAAAACAGGAGACCTGCACAGAGCCCGACACAGACACGAAGCCTAAATAGAGGCATGGCGCCTCGTCTGGCACTCTCCATTTGGTTTTCTCCTTGTGGAATTTTTATGGTACCTTCGTCTCTCGAAGGCAGTGACTTGTCCTTTGCTTCCCCCCAAAAGCTATTTCCCCCGAGCAGCCCCTTCAGCCAGCACAAGCCCAATCATGTGTTACTGACAAAAACAGTGAGATATAGATTATTAATTATGTTCTAGGTATGTGCACCTTCTGCGTTTACAGACCCCCAGAAGGCACAATGTGAATACCGCGCTCCCACCTCCAGTGGACCCACACTAAGAGAAGAACTACAGAGTGTGTTGGCTCAACAGTCATGCTCCAACAGCTGATTTATGGCTGGCCAATAGCAAAAAAGTTCCCACGAAAATGATTTCACCGAGTCGAGCCAGGGACACACCCAGGAACTAAATAAGGACCAAAAGAAAGGCGATGAAAGGAGTGAGTTCGCACTGGTGTCAGACAATGTCGGGCTGGGAGCGAGGGGACCACTGCTGCAGGAAAATAGGAGGGCAGTGCACTCTGCAGACACCCTCACACACCAGCACTCGTGAATCTAAGAGTATACAAATACAATATTATACTATTATGATTCTTTTTCTGCCTAAACATCATACGTTTGTGGCACAATTGAAACTAACAGTGGACACTACATTTTAAGGAATACGATGTGCAATTATTAACCATAATAGCAACAGACAAACGTCTTTTCCAACAGAAACAATTGGATTTCGGGAGCAACAGCAGTCAATGGATACAGACTCAATACATGTAAAAGTAGTATTTTTGTAAGGCTAATTCGGAACAAAATATAAACTAATTGTCATCATACGCAGATATGGAATATAGAAAATGGACAACAGAAAACAGTATATCTGATGCAGTTAACTATGCATTCACTTTTGCACGATTGATATCTTGCAAAAATATTTCTTTGCATTTAAATCTTCAGAACGTGTTTGCTTGATCGACTGATAATTTATTGTACGAAGCAAATAACTGCAGTGTCTCACTGCTGTATATGAGGCTCGCTAAGTGCACGTTAAGGAACACTGTGAACAATGTTGATGTGCAAACAGCGAGTGCAAATCACCTTTTCGAAAAATTTTGAACGATTTTCCTTTTAAAATTCTATCGGCAGGGACATTCCTGTGTGTCAACTAAAGGTCATTCAAACGGTAGAAATAAGAATTGTTTTGTTCACTTTAAAGTGTCCTATTGGTCGTTTCAGTGAGGGAAGTCAGTGAGGGAATGCATGCACAAGTATTAATAACAACATAAGAGCATTTTGCATGGACACGCAGGAATAGAGGTCGACTTGCCTATCGAGCCTGCATCGCAAGGCATTCGAAGCAAAAACAGGCCAAACTGCAACCACAGTACCCCCAGTGTCTCCACAGGAGGGCGTTAAAGAGCTCATCTTTTGGCCAGCATCCACCCAATGAATTTTGCAGCAGAAAGCCCATTCACATTCAAATCCAACAACAAACAAACAATGTCTCGACAGTATGCAAGACCCAACAGGAATGTTGAAGCAACACTAGTGTTCTCTTTCAGATGGATCGTAGCATCTGCCATTCAATTAAGTAAACAATTAAATAAACTGTAACATTAAACCAGTTCCACGTGATTTAAACCTCTGGATATTTCAACAGAAAACAAGCGAGGTGCAATATTTAAATAAAGCACTGAGTATTATTTGCTTAAGTTGTTTGTCATTGCAAATTAATCAAAGAGCAAACCCAGTGACAGGTTTCAGTTGTCTTACCTTGTGAAGGTGTCTGCTTGTAAACGGGGGAGGCGAAGGGAGTTTGCAGGTGCAGACGGGCAGTGACGGATGGAAGTATAGTTGAGTCCCAGGACGGAAACTGGGGCTCCCGGGGGTCAGTGACGCACCGGGGCTCCTTCCACTCATCTTGCCCAAACGTGTCAGGAAAGCGATAGCAGGGATCCCAAACGATCCAGTCATGTCCGAAGCAAAGCTCCTTCGCGTCGAGCCCAAAAAGGTGTAAAAATGTAGAAGGTCCCTGATGAAAACAGCTGCGTGGAAGCCCGAGACCGTTAAATGAAAGGCTGCTGTATTCCACTATTGGAAATTTTATATAAAAAGTTCATGTCCATGGCTCCCTGCCACGTGACAAGCTGCGGCCAATAGGAAGACAAGCCGCGTCGTTAAATTGTATTGCTATGTTGTAAATTTTCATAAACAACAACGGATTTATGACCCAGCGCTGGAGGGAGAGATGGGGAGAAAGGGGAGGGGAGAGGCAGAGAAGGAAGGGGGCAGGTCACCGTCAGGCGCCATCTTACCGAGGACAGAGGGAATGCAGAGTTCAACAGTAATTTCCCTTCATCTGCAGCCTTCCCCATCTCGCATCCTCATAGTTCACATTCCCGAACTTAAGTGTTTACCTAACACTCATAACATAACTGCAACATGTTTCCTTACATGCAACCTAATATTGGCAACATCCAACAGCACTTCGTGTCATGCTATTACTCAACCCGCGTGTGATATTTGAACTGTGGTTATCGTTACACAACATTAACTTCGCAAATATTACATACAAACAAATAGGCAAGTAAAAGCTATTTTATTCCATTATATTTTCATTTACAGATTTGAGACATTCCCAGAGGTTATTTATTTGTTCACATGTTACTGATACTTCACATTGAAAACGTGGCCACTTAACCTAAATATCACATTATTTGCCCAAATTAGATTACAATAGCCTATTAATTTGAAATGTTGTTTAAATAAATATGCATGCGTTTCTTGTTGGCATTAACAAACACGTGTGACATTTTGAAGCTACTTTTTTTTCTAAATAGAATAGGCGAGGGAGTTTCACAGTAGGCTACACGGCTAAGACTACAGCACATTTACGTAAGGATCCTTTTTGTAGCAAAATAAGCAAGTTGACGAGGTAGGTTACATGAGATCATCCGAAACTTAACAATATTTCTGTTAATCCCGGGATGTATAGAGGGGTAAATAAGTAGCGAAAACAGGCATATAAACATTCCAAGTGATACGCAGTTATATTTAAAAAACAATACTACACTAACTGAAAACAAACGAAGCATCTAAATCACAGTTGGAGGCATTTAACAAAATATTCACTTTTAATCAGCCTAAGGCACATTTGAGCAGAATGGTGTATTTGTTCCCTTTAGAAATACAACCGTCTGTTGAGAAGACTCACTCGAATAGGTAGAATAGATTATTTTCCGTCAATTTCAACATACGTTGAAGTCCTTGTGTCAGCGCTTAATATTAGCACGTAAATATTAGGTAGTTTTTTGTTAAGGAATGTTGCCTCAGTAGTACGATCAGGTTAAATTACACGTCGTATATATAAAAATATAGTTTGGATAGGTAGGCCTTTAGTTAATATTGCTCTTTCTTGCAGAGCCTTTGAATGTGTTTTGGATTTAAATAGGAAATACAGACATACAGCCTGTTACATGCTTATTACATAATTGCCTTCAGTTGTCATCCAATTAATCCGCCTACAAAGCTCTTAGTGCATGAATTGTATGTGAGAAATATCTGAGATGTATCCCTAATCCCTACTAAACAGTGTTTTTCATTAAATGCTCTGTCCGTGTCTTTTGTTACTTTGCAGCTGTTTCTGACTCCAAACCAGAGCTCCGGGTGTCTCCCGCTTCGTGCTCTCTGGCCTCTAAAACCGCCTGGTTATCACCGTCCTTTCCCCCGGGGGTCGACGTGGATTCCTCCTTGTGGTCTTTTTTCCACTTCATCCTGCGATTCTGAAACCAGATTTTGATCTGTCTCTCCGTGAGGCAGAGAGCATGGGCTATCTCGATCCTCCTCCTGCGGGTCAGGTAACGGTTGAAGTGGAACTCCTTCTCCAGCTCCAGGGTCTGGTACCGGGAGTAGGTCTGCCGCCCTCGCTTTCGATTTGGATCTGTGTAAGATAAGATGAGCTATACTTGCAAACTGTATTTAAAAGTTATACAGCATAAACCATCAATTATATGGTGTTGAAATGTATACTGACATTAAAAATGATAAAACCATCATCACGTCTATTCTAGTCTAGCTTGTATTTTTTTTTACATCATCGACACTCTCCCTCACAGAACACACTCCTCACAGTCATATCAGTACAAGGGAAATACTTTTTTGTAAAGTTCTCTGCATCTATTTATAGCAGTCCTGCTGGGATGTTTGGCCCATGCCTCCTTTCACTGCATGCCTTTCCAATTAAAGCCAGTGATGATCTGCGCACCAGAGGAGCTATAAGTAATTCGATTACAGCACCAACCAACACCTTCTCCCTCAAAATTATAACAAATGCCAATGTTTCAAACTGCTTCCATTCTAAATCCACTTGACTTCTTTATGTAGCCGACAACGCTGGTGCATATTGATCCAGCAATGTGTACGATCGAGTTTCAGAAAATACCAGAGCCTCTGCAGTGCAGACCCAATTAGAAAGGAGCTGCAGAGTGCAAGAGAACTGATTTACACAACAGACAGGTCTTTTTACAACCACAAAGGGGAGAAGAGGCTGTAAGAGTAATAGGAGTGCAGAGAAAACCCCCAGCGGCAAGGTCTCTGCGTACTGAACACACAGAAGCGCTGGCCAAATGAATTTATGGCTGCAGAACTCATTAGTTGCGCAATAAAAGTTTTACGATTCTTTCCATGCAACACCAATGGATTCACGGAATTAATTGAACCACTAACGGCCAGTGTAAGTATCCCAATGTTTTGTAAAAGCATTGACCTGAGGGCTTTGAAGTATAACATAAGAGACGGTATCATACCTGATGCTCTCATCCAGGGGTACATCCGGTATTGTTTGTCCGGCGGCAAGGTGAGGGGTCCCGGCTCCGGATGGCAGCAGCTATCGGTGAACAGCCGGCTCTGGTCGAACAGGCTGCAGTGCAGTGTATGTGCGTCCTGCCCCTGGCCATATCCCGAGGTAAACACGGGACGGCTCTGGTACACTGCATTATTGACGCTGTACACTCCAGACAGAGATGGTGAGAACGCAATGGCCGCAGCAGTCCGAGCCGAAGCATAGTCCTCTCCACTGGGTCCAATACTGCAAGACGCCCGTTCTACGTTTGGGAAGAGAGAACTACCCGCCGTATATTTGCTAAGAAGACCATCCACATAATAAGAACTCATATTTTTTCGCTCTGATTTGTTGGCCCAGAATCTTCAGTGTCGTTTTTACGAGGTAGCGTGATATATGACAGCAATACACCCTAGATTTACACCAAACCCCATTTTCACTCTGGACCAAAGAACTCACCCACGTGACTCGGGCCTGGCAGCTCTCACCCAATCAGCAAACAGACATGGATATCATTATGGCGCAGGACTGCAGAGTGGGATTAACGCTTCACACACGATTGCATACACGCATGTAAACACATACGAGAGAAATTCTCACAATCCCAGTGATCTAGAAGGAATTTAGGTTATATTAGGTCATGTTTTTTTATAATATATCTACTAACATTATAAATAACCATCTATATAAACCATCTAATTTAATAAAATGCTTTATTTTTCTATTTCATACACCTTCGTATACAGAGAATTTACTTAATAATAACAAAAATAATCTACACACATTTATAGGCTACACTAATATACAGTACATATTTGACTAAAATTGTGTCATAATTGTAAAGTAACTATTCCGACAGAATGTGATTTTGTTGGTTTGTTTAAAAAACAATACGTAGGCGTTGTTTAATAAAATGTACGCATGAAATATAACAATATTTAGATTAAAATGTACCTATAAGTGCGAACTATCGACGATGTGTATAAACTGTTCATTTTCTACTAAGTTGGAACATGATAGCTTTGAATTTGTACACTGACACGATGTTTGAGGTGAGAATATGTCACAACAATTGTTACTTTAAGTATAAAATTATAATAATCCTCAATCCACCCTCCAGAGATGTTTTACTGTCATTACATTGTCACTGAAATGGTCCATACGACCAATAATGAACTAATTAAAGCATGCCTACAATACAAAACTCAAAAAGACATCGTCAGAATTATACTGGAAAAAAACAGAACTACAATAACAGAAACAATAATAATACAAATAATACACCTTAAACTCGTTGCAATATTTGTGGCAGCCGATTATGTTTTGCGTATTGCAATTTAAATCGAAAACCCTATAGTGGAAATATATATTCTATTTAGGAAATTCAAAAATAAAGTAATACTTGCAATGAGGAAACTGCTCATATTTTATATTTTATCTTAATAATCCTACCATCACTCAAGTTAACTAAGTTACAAATGAGTTGCGTCTATAAAGCGGTAGCTTATAAAAACATCCTAATAAGAAAAACATTAAACAGAGCGACTTTCTGAGGGTGAACGCAGTAGGCTAATCCAGCAGTCACAGTGTGCTGACTGTTTCATTCTTCTCTGCTGAGCCGCAGGCTGGAGAAGCAGCTTCTGCACTGAGACTGTAAAAAGGTGTGAAATTATTTTTGCTGGACTCTTAAAAAATGTTACTACATTTTGTTCCCCAGTGCAGGTTCATTGAGGAGTGCTAAAATGGCAGGGTTATGTTGTGGAACAGTGTCGCCACCCTCTGGTGACTAGTGAAAACTGCAGGGTGGGAAGACAGCAGTGCGCATGCGTTTTCTTTTTCTGCTGCAATCTGGTATTTAGTGCAAGACGAAACTAAAAGAAATGAATCTCAAAATGTATGTTCCTCGTTGTTTTTTGAGCAAATCGACGATGCGTTTTAACAGACATGTCCAGATGTATTGAGAAAAAGCATCATATATAGGCCAACCACTGCGTTTGAAGCTAGCTGCTGACTTTATTGCTCCTTTTCCTTTAGGATGGGCCCAGCAAAGGAGCAGAGGGCGGAAGGTTCCCAGGTAGAAACAAAGGATCGCTCCAAATGACCGTGAGTCCTGCGCGTCCCCGTCGGGGAAGTCCAATAAAGCTGATCATTTCCGCTCGGTCTTTTGTCCAGGGCGCAGTCCCACAGAAAGAGAAGAAAAAACAAATGGGTGCCATTCTGGAAACGGCCTAATTGTGTCTGGACGGCCATAAAGCCATTACAACTGGAATGCCAGACAGTATAGCAGACCAGGCGTTTTATTGCACTGTCTCTGGCCGAGTCTTTGAAGTTTGGGTCCATCTGCGTCCCCTAACGCGTCACAACAGCACTCCAACTGAAGTCCGACGTACCCTCTAACTACCACAATCAGTGTATGTGAAGTAATTAATAAGAACTAAAGCTGGTGTAGCTGACAGAGCCGTTACGTAGGCCTATCTCAAATTTAGCAGCTCTGCAGGTAGCTCACGTTGGATTTGCACTGCCTGTATTTTCTGTGCCCTTGTGCCAAATATTTTCACCAACATGCAGAGACTTGAAGCAGCCTTACAAATGCAGAGGTCATATTTTAAAACTAGAGCTCTTCTCTAAAACCTTTGGGATAGAATTTTTGAGGTCACGTCGCGTTTAAAATCCAAATTCCTTGTGCTATTATATTTCATAATACTTCGTTCTTGGTTATAAACATGGCGCTAATGACGGAGCTTTAGGCTGAGCGGCCTCGTCATATCTGAGGCGAGCAGCATCGCCTGCATTATTTTGGGCTTCAGCTGTTGAAGCCTTCGATGTATTTTTTTTGGTTTTCTGTCCTCTCGCCTCGCAGCGCTTCGCACCTCATAAAAGGTTATAGCGGTAATTGTCTTTTATGGCTGCATACAGCTAACAACATCCTCTGCCAAGACGCAGCTCTGTCCCCAATCCAATGTGTGTGAGTGTGTGTGTGTGTGTGAGTGTGTGTGTGTGTGTGT